TGGTGGAGAGCTTATCATCACGGGCGATGGTGAATCCACCGGCAACAGTCTTCAGGACGGGCATACTGATGTTGGACAGCTTGCTGTTGTCCTTGAAGATCAAATCACCAGTCTGAGTCAGGTTGGGAGCGGAGAAGGTCTCGAACTTAGTACCCCAGAAGCCGAGCTGACCAGTAAGCTTCTCGAGGGAAGGCATGGAGACCGAGGAGATGTTCTGGAAGGTCATGTTGGTACCGGTGCCCAGGTTGGGGAGCTCGATCTCGAGAGTGTCGAAGTTACCCGAGAAGCTGATCAGGTCGGTGGCGTTTTGAAGGTTGTTGATATTGATGGTCTTCAGATCACGGTTGTTCTGGATGCTGAAGGTACCGACGGTCTTAAGGGAGATACCGTTCAGATCGGTCAGACCAGTGTTGGCGATGTTGACATCGCCAGCCTGAGTGACACCCTTACCGAAAGACAGCGACTGGAGCTTGGGGAGAGCCTCCCAGTTGATCGAACCAACGGAATCGAGCTCAGCGAAGTCGAGCAGAGTCAGAGTGGTGAGGCCCTCCAAGTCGAAGGCCTTGCCGATCGAGGCGAGAGAGCTGGCGGAGATGGAGCTGACGTTCTGACCACCGGAACAGATCAGACCACCGGTGATCTTCTTGATGCCGTTGAGCTGGAGGTCGCCGCTGTAAGACTTGTCAATAGTGACATCACCCTTGATGGTGGAGCAGGTGTTGACGCCATCAGCATCGCTCTGGGTCTTGATCTTGGTATCGCCACAGTCGTCGGCTGTATCACTGTCAGGGGATGTATGAGAATGACGGGAGCCGGATACTCACAGGCAGCGAAAACAGCCTGGCTGGCGGCCAGCACGGGGAGGATGTACTTGAGAGACATGATAGTTTCTGAATTTGTTAGCCAATTTTGAGGATATTTTGGATCAGGGGTGTGGGGAGATGTACCGATTAGAGATATTGGAATGCAAGAGCAGAGAAAATTCGCAATGAGTGATTAGAGAAGAAGCGCTTCAAACGAGAGGGAAGCGGAAATACTGCCAAGTGGACAAGGCAGGAACTCTCAAATGGTAGGAACGAATGGACGAAGGTTGGAAGAGGAAGAAGAAGAAGGAGCCGACGAGGAAAGGGGAGGTGGAGATTGTTTGTCTAATCTTACCAGGTGCCACTTTTTTTTTTAAAAAAAATGCCATACCAAGGGGGAAAGGAAAACATACACAGTACCGCATTCGGCGTGTCAGGGCCGTGCCAGGGCAGTGCCAGGTATTTTTTTCCGCTGGTTTCAACCTGATTTGCATTTACCAAAATTACCACATACTAAAAATACCAATTGAAGATTACAGAGTACCCAAAACTCAATTAATTTCCACACCATTTCCTGCTTTTGAGCACTAGCTCGTACCACCTCGATCCTCCCAATTAGCCCCCTTTTCTCTATTTTGCCCATAGGTTTTGGGTCAGTTTCTTCATACATCTCATTGAACGTTTCCAAGGAGAATGATATAATTCAGAGATGTTCACTTACGGGGTAAGATGTCTACGCTAGTTTTAGGATGGGCCATGCACTCGGCAAGGTACTCTGTATAACTTGAGGGGCCTCGGCATGGTGTGAATTTGCCATACAGAGTACATTCTGTACGACTGTCCAATTATTTGCTGTCTAGTAGCTTTCGCCTAGACCGTTCAAAAGCACGGAGTACAGGGTAGTCATATTTTAGTATCTTACAAAGATCCCATGCAAATTTATGCTAGCTCATCTACGAAATATAGAGGATACAGGGTCGATACTAGAAGGATCTAACGATAATGCATAAATACTAGCCTGCGACCAGCGTCCAATCCTACAGCACTTGAGGGGTAATCCGAAAGTCGCTAGCCAATTCATCAACGGATCCATCCTATCTCTCGCCTGTTGTCGTCATCCATGCAACCAAGCTTGAGACTCCCCTGTTGATCTTCAAGGGTTTTATCCTGTAAGTTTGCTGCTGATTGGATATTCCTACATATATATGAGACAATCTCCCACCCCTATAGCTATTATTATACAATATACTCCGTACCTCCCTTTGACACTGCACATATCAACAACCAGCCGAAACACTAGACACGCAATCTTCAAATTTGTCGAAGCTTCTTATTTTGATAGTGGCCGATCTAAATTTGCGGGAACCCAAGCCTTCTATGGACCCGCCCCCTGCCGCTATCGTCGATTCCCCGTATGCGCGCCTTCTTATTGGCTCGTTGGAATGACTCGCCTTGAATCACTCCGTACTGTCCTCGCTGTTCTCCAAAAATACACATCGTCCGTGAGGCGAAACAATCGCCCCCTGGGAAGTGGCAGATGGTGTCAGAGAGAACCGACCAAGCCCCCTATTTGATGCGCTATGCGTTCAACAGTTAGGATAACAGGTAACTTAACTACCGAAGATCGATAGTCGATCGCAACTGATTCTGTGGAACTTCGCCACACTTTCCGTTCGTACCCAACCGTATTTCACTATACGGGTATACCTACATGCATCTACCTTGCCTATAGTGTACTATGTACAGCTTGAAATCACAAATCGTTGATGCAGCTCCAAGACGATCACAGCGACTTTGGAAATTTTCAGTGTGCAACGTATTGATGGACGAAATTTTCAACATTTGTGCGTTTTCGGTAACAATGCACCGGCTTCGACTCTGGCCTCGGGGACGGAGCTTCAATTAAGACGCGACGATCAAGCCGTCCATGGATGTCTAGAGCTTCATCGGCCCGGTCAATCTTTGATATTCCATCGCGTGTTCTTCAAGACCCAATGGAATTGGCAGTATTGACTTGTAAACAATTACATACACAAATGTTCCCCTTATGCAACAAAGTCATTAATGTTACAATGGAAAGTTGGCAAAGGTTTCACTCGATACGTCTCACCCCACTCTTGCACCGCTCCACTAAGTGCTATGTGTCTCTCCATGGCTTGGAACCCTATAACAAAAGACTTGGGTCTTTGTATCCTACCTCTTGGACGGAAAATGGCCATGTTGACTGGTGGCAAAAATACAGGCCTGAACATTTACTAACTACTCCCCACCCCCTTGGTACTCCGTACACGACCTCGATACTTACCCGTGCCCGTTGCGCCACAAATATGTCAAGCTAAGCCCAACTCTGTGCTGGCGGTTCTACAAGTGGCAGTACGAAAGACACCTGTGTATATTGATTTCTGTCTCTTGGCATTCAATTCACATTCCCATCCAATCTGTATCGTACATTGAAGGCCGAGAGACCACTGGAATGCGTGAGGCGTACAGTATCAGGTGTCAATCTATGTCTAGGGGTCGTGGATTGCCACATTCCCGAACACATCATGTCAAAGTAAACATGCATATTCAGTCGCCCAACCACTCTGGGGTATGTGTTGATATCCCAATCCGGGTTATCTTGCTCATGCAGACTAGGGATGTAATGCGAAGCTTTGTACCCTGGTTCTCGTGGTCTATTAACTTCTGAGACTTATATTCCACAGACAAGGATTCATTCTTGTTTCGAACTGACTCACATTCGTTTTCGGGTATTTCACTCCAACGTTTCGGCCTAAATGCTAAGCTTCATTTTTTACTGGTCAATTTCTTCACGTATTTTGGATGAACGGTTGATTGATCTCCACTTAACTCATTTATCTTTGCGTTTTTTTTTTCTTTGCCTCCGGATATAATTAGTCGGTAACGGGGTCAATATAATCGTGGATCACCAAGGCGACCACCTGAATCTTTTAGGCAACATCTACGTATTTGAAGTCGCCTTCTAATATAAACTGCATCGATATATTACGACGTAATTATGTTGTATGCCTGCATCTGTTCAAGGTTGATTTTTCGAAAATTTGACGTTCAGATTGTATTGTATTACGAAGCTACCGTGGACCTCGATCTTGGTCCACGGGTGCTGTGGATAGTTCCTTGGATTTGTCGAACGGCGGAGTATATCACATCCAATCGCGTGGCCTCTCAGCACAAACCTTTCCAGGGCACAATCCTCTTCCTTTCTGTGCGCATCCTCCAAGGCACAGTCGGGTTGTTGTTACCATGGAGTGAAGGAGCTCGAGATATTAATAGATGTCTAGTGTATTATTGGACCAAAAACCAGACACTTTCTGGATCAAATAGGTATTCCTTGGATTCAACGTATATATATGTTGTATGTATTCATATGGCTTTTTCCGTCATTTCAAATCATACTCCTCTCTGCTTACAATATATGGCGAAATTACGCCCTACTTAACAAAACTGTGCACACACAACTTGCGGCATAACATCCACAATATTAACTCCCTCCTCCTACGCCGGACTAAGTCATCATGGTCATATCGTGCTCGTTGCCGGGATCCTGATTTTCATGGAGCTCAAATTACGAGTGAGTCTACATTGGAAGATAATCAAGTAGTTTCCCTCACAAGTCTAGCTTCACTTGGATATTGAAACAGACTTTTTGCTCATTGATAGCTAGCAATAGGTAGTCGACAGCATGAGGGATCCAACGGCCGCCATAGTAGCCAGCGCTTATCACAGCAAGCGCAAGCGACGTAGGTATACTGTGGATGATCCACTATAGCCACGTTATCCATTATCTCATCTTCGATAGATTGGTATAGATTGAGTATAGAAATGGGGTATCAATGGTATCTTTCTGAAAATGATCTACAGATGATTTTGCGTGGGGTAAAGAGATAGAATTATATATTTCAATATAAATTGTATGTCATATGTGATACGTGGTTTATAAAGAAGCATACACAAAGAAAAACAAAACAATTATTATGAAGTACATTGAGAATCAACGCTCAATGATAGAAGCTTGTCTGTCTGTCCAGAGCGTGTCATCGTGCTTGGCACTGAGGTGACCCGGCGAATCCCCAACTCCGGACCTCCAAACCCCAACTTCGCCGGTAACATTCCCTAAACTTCCTCAGCTTCAGTACATATTGATTGAAAATAGGATATCTCATATATCGTCGAAAAATGTCAATCAGACGCTCGGCCCGACTGGGCTCCATCCCCACCATCAAGACACCACTACTGCAAAACGCAGGTCCGAGCAAAGCAACTAGAGTCCAACACAGTGCAGTGACAAAGCCTCGCAAGACACCCACAAAGGCCAGCAGATCAAATAGACAAACCACAAAGACAAAACCAAAAGAAGCCTCCTACTGGTCCCCTGAACCAGTCGTGACAGAGAATCAAGAAATAGGCAACCAGTCCTCAACCACTAATCCCACGATATTCAGGCCTCAGACACCACCTCCACTTGACCGTCCCGTTGACCCGCACCGAACAAATGCAACTCTCATCACCCCTCACGGCTCAAAAGTAAACGCCTACCCAACACACGTTGAAGATGCCTCCCCTTCGAAGACTGGCCTTCCACGGCCAACGGCCACGACAGGGACACTACTTGAAAAAGCCACTGCACACCTCATAGCGACAGACCCACGCATTGCAACAGTGATAGAGCAATACCCATGTCCGCTCTTTTCGCCTACTGGCTTGGCAGAGGAAATCGACCCCTTCAACAGTCTGACCAGCAGCATCATTGGCCAGCAAGTCTCTGGTGCGGCAGCAAAATCTATAAGGAATAAGTTTCTCACGCTGTTTGATCTACCCGATCATGTTGCGCCTGACGGGCATAAACATGCAAAGTTCCCGACTCCCGAGCAGGTCGCTAAGTGTGATATCCCTACCCTGCGCACCGCAGGGCTATCGCAGCGCAAAGCGGAGTATATCCAGGGTCTTGCAGAGAAGTTTGCCAGTGGAGAACTTGGGGCAAGGATGCTAGTACGAGCTACTGATGAGGAGCTTTTTGAGAAGCTTATTGCTGTTCGTGGACTGGGGAAGTGGTCGGTTGAGATGTTTGCTATGTTTGCGCTCAAGCGCATCGATGTGTTCTCTACTGGGGATTTGGGAGTACAGTAAGCACCTTCCTTCCGGTCCATTTCTTCTATGCAACTTCTTGGCCTGAGGGCCAAAAATCCTCTGCGTCGTGGCTCAGGGGAAGCACTTGCTAACACGTACGTAGACGAGGCTGCGCTGCCTTTGTGGGTCGCGATGTGAGCAAATTGAAGAGCAAGGGTGGTGGTAAATTTAAATATATGGCGGAAAAGGATATGCTGGAACTTGCTGCCAAGTTTGCACCATATAGGTATGTCTGACCCTATCTATGGTGTAGATAATGTGCTTACTGAGTTGATACAGGAGTCTTTTTATGTGGTATATGTGGCGCATTGAAGACGTTGACGTGGCTGTTCTGGGTGGTTGAAGAACGTAGAAGTACTGCATATTGAGCATTCAGGGCGGCTGTGATATAGTGTTGCCCTACTAAGTTCGTGGCCATGAGCAAATGGGTGTATTGCATATGTTATACAGGGATGTGCAGCCAGATAATGTTGGGCGCAAACGCCCAAACTGACCACCCACCATGCATAGGCATCACGAATTACCCCAGTCATCACCAGACTTAATCATTACAGCAAGAGGTGCAAGACCCGCTTGTCAATTACAAGATTGACCAGATATATAAGCGCGCGAAGAAAATCGATTTGTACAGTACAGTACACTCAGGCTGCGTAACTAAGCCATGGGCCGCCCATTCCATTACGAAGAAAGCACACCAGGCGTTTATTCCATGTCAACAACAATGCTTCCCCGGACCCTCTGTATTCATATTCTATTGAACAAGGCAGAAACGGCTTACTTGCGGACAACAAGGTTGTCAAGCTCAGCACGCTCCTTAGCCTCCTTCTCAATCTCGCGGATGATGGGGCTGAGGTACTCGACGTCCTATTTGATTTGCATTGTTAGTTTGTGTTCGTGGTGACGAGTAGATGCCTCAAAATGGAGTCGAGGTGGATGTGACAAATCCGTGCACTAGGATTGGCCGATATGGAGACCACTGCGGGGAGGGCGAAATTTGGATGTTGGGGACTCACCTCCTCGGGCTTGATCTGCTCGTGAGCAGGAAGGAGAGTGTGGGAAATGGAGCACTGCAATTGACACATTGATTAGATTTTGCGCCCGTCGGCTACGGAGGAAGGGGGTCGGTCGAACCTGGAAAGCACGGCGGATACGGAAGACACGGTCATAGGCCTCCTTGGCAGGCAGACGCTTGATGGCCTTCTGAACGTTCTCGCTCTCCTCAGGGATCAGGTCATCGAACCTAATTAGGCAGTCAGCAAGTGTTTCAGTGCAACCATGCCACGAGCGATATCCGAAAGACCGGGGCTCCGGGCAAATCCGACACAACTGCGATCGCATTCAAAAGATATGCCACCGGTGCGCGACGAGTTCCACCAGCCAATTCAAATCATTGTTTCAATCGCTCGTGGTTGGGAGATTGTCGATATGGTAGGGCAAGAATTACTTGAGTCCGAGTCTCCTGTAACCCGCGGCATCAGTGTACCAGTGGGAGAGAGGGGTGAGCCAGCTCTTGAGCCATGGGCGCTTGACGATGTAACTGGCGAGCGAAGGGGCAGACATTTTGAATCCCAGGTATCCCAATTGACGTGGGTGTGGTGAAGGGTTGAAAGGCTATCCGACTGGAACACGAGATGACCCGATGTTACGAGGTTGTGCAAAACGGAGCTCGGGCGGCTAGTCCTGAAACGGCAATTGCGCCTGAGGCTCACAGCACGTGATATTCATGCCTCAGGCGGTGGAGCGACTGGGATGTCAATCGGCGCACTCCACCTAGAGGATGGGTTACCTATGTCATATCCCCTTCTCGATCTTATCACCTGCTTTAAGAGAGGTTGGATTTGTTAAGCCTCAAAAGCAATCACTGATCCCTGCTTTCACTGAGAAGCTTGATTTTTTTGAGAACCCCGCCCACGTCCGTGCTGCAGATAATAGAACATTGCGCATTCAAAGCAACCACACCGGGTTCGGTAACCATCGGCCCCAGAAAACTTCCTCTCAACCCTCCGTCATTTCTCACACCATTTTCTTTACACCACTTACGGACATCGGATACTCGGATAAATCTAGATTTCTTTCCTAGCTCAGTTTGAAATAGGGTTCTTGGGTTCCGGATCGAGCACCCGATATGCTCGTGTCCGGGGGCCCTCGTTGATTCAATACGGTTCGACAAGCTGTGTGAGCGCCGGCCACCAAGATGCCTACAAACGGCCAAAGCGCTCCGGAAAGCTCCCAAAACCAGACTCATTCAATCCATGTCGACAATGCTCCCAACTTGCCTGCCGCACCGAGCTCCGATTTCAAAGCTCGCCTCGCGGTCCTTTCCACTAAGATACCTAACGGTTACATAGCACCTTTCTGCGGAGCTAGCGCTGGCGTGGCATCTGGTATTGTCACCTGCCCTCTCGATGTCATCAAGACGAAGCTCCAAGCCCAGGGCGGGTTTCGGCGAGGAGCAAAGGAAGTTGGCTCGGGGATGCTGTATCGTGGCATGCTCGGAAGTGGAAGAAAGATCTGGCGAGAAGATGGCATTGGCGGTTTATACCAGGGTTTAGGTCCAATGTTGCTGGGATATCTTCCCACCTGGGCTGTCTATCTAGCAGTCTATGACCGGACCCGTGAATATTTCTATGACCAGACAGGTAGTTACCACCAAAATGGAGGATCGGATCAGTCATCAGTACTGACCAAGTTATAGGAAGCTGGTGGTTATCCCGAGGCTATGCATCAATCACAGCCGGTGCATGCTCAACGGTTGTGACGAACCCCATTTGGGTCATCAAGACCAGGCTCATGTCACAAAGCCTTAAACAAAACAGCGAAGGAGTGCGAGCCCCTTGGCAATACTCAGGCACATGGGATGCTGCTCGCAAGATGTATCAAATTGAGGGCATTCGCTCCTTCTACTCCGGCCTCACACCAGCTCTGCTAGGACTATCCCATGTGGCTATTCAATTCCCCCTTTACGAATATCTAAAAATGGCGTTGACAGGATATGGTATTGGTGAACACCCCGATACTGGCAGCTCGCACTGGATGGGAATATCCCTCGCTACTTTCCTCAGCAAGGTCTGCGCAAGCACAATTACATATCCGCACGAGGTGTTGCGGACCCGACTCCAAACACAGCAACGGACTATTCCGGCACAATCCCACGAGGAGATTGCGTTCCGTGGCGGATTGAAACACCCACATGACCGTGGTCGGTCGGGTGGCATATCCTCCTCAGATGGAATGCCCAGTCGCCCACGCTATAGTGGCATGGTGCGCACGTTCCAGACAATACTCAAGGAGGAGGGCTGGCGTGCGTTTTACTCCGGGATCGGCGTCAACCTGTTCCGGGCCGTTCCGGCTGCCATGACCACTATGCTCACATACGAATACCTGCGGAAGCAGATGAATACCTTGCAGCATGATGGTGCGCTGAGAATCCAGATGGAAGAACAAGCTCGGGAGTCTATTTGACACCCACGATCCACCAATACAGAAGAATACTCCTCATCTCCCACCTCTCTTGACATCCGCTTCTTGAACATCGCAAACAACCGTTTTCGATCGCCAATTCCTCCTTTTTCCTTTTGTCACAACCTGTATAGACATGGGCGAGGCGGTTTGTTCCTCGATATTTGAAAATCAATCTTTAGCGAGTAAATTTTGGCTACTGCATTCCGAAATCATACGAGGATCTCGGCATATATGACAATGTCTCCAGGCTACGAGGTTCTGACATGTGAAACAGCTTTCACATGTCAGATGCTCGCTGCATCTTAGCTGAAGGATTATTGTGGCCTGAAGCATGACTTTTCTTTCCCTTGTTGCTTTCTAAACTTGTCTAACATCTTCCTGGCTTCTGCATGTTTTTTTATTCTGTATATACATCACATACTATACATGCTTGCCCAATTTCGTGAATACACACACTCGAATAAATCAGTCAGGACTACCGAGTAGGAAAGAATAGGTAATTTTGGTCTCCACTTCTGCGAATCCTCTAGTATCAAACAGCGTCTAACAATTGTTCCAGCGGAAAGAAATCCTTTTGGGTCATATTAAAGGATTCGCTGTCAGCTCATCACTGATCTCAAATGATATCATTAGCGATATAATTCAGAATGAGAGCTGTGGAAGTTAGACCTTTTCCTGCGATTTTTGCAATAACGAGAGAGACCTCAATTAACCATAATCCCGGAGAAGCCGAAGGATTTCCTTCTTGAGGCCAAGGTCATCGACGTCACCTTCCACGAGACCATAGAGAAGACTGGAACCCGAAGGGAGATCGATGAAATGATATTGTGAGCAGTTCGGGGGATAAAGGTATTATTCAGTAAGCTTGGGACCATAAAGGAAGCTTGCATGAAGTAAGCTGCTTAAAAGAAAATATGCTGAACTTATCTGCTACAAGCTGAAAAGAGATATTGCTGTAAGCAACAGTCCTGCTGTGTTTAAGCTCGTTCGCTTTGTCTTTAGACTTGTCTGGAACTTTTCGTGTGGGAGAATGAACTGGCATGGTCCTCTTTAGCTCCACATCTTGATTGTGATCGCTGTAAGTTCACTGCTAGAGGACTTGTTTGACTGTCTCCGAGTCGTCCCCGGTAGATTGATAATCCCGGTAATTGAACCCTTGAAATAGTAAGCAACGGAAATGATTGAGGATTAAGTATTCACACAAAACCCAGGGCTACGGCCAATATGAAAGAAGCCAGATTGAATGTGGATGGTGGTATAGCGAAGTTTGAAAGTCTCATTATAGAAGATAATGATAATATCTGTTTCTCTGTAAGAAGTCTTCCCAGTACCTAGCAACCCAATGAGGGGGCTTTTGACTGGTGCTATGCTGGGAAAAAAAATAGGAAGAGGAAGCTGAGAAAGGACAAATTTCAAGGAGATAGTTAGTTGAGCAGAGGTTGAGAGAATGGGACATGTTGACTTCAGCTTGATGTTGAGGTCAACCTGAGTTGAACTAACTTGCTTTGAGACTGTTTGATGCCATTTTCGTATGATTTTTAATTCTAACTAGATATACAACGAGATCTACTGAGATAGCTTTAATGAAATATACAACTTCGATACTACAGTCACAAATGTTAGCCTTTGGCGGTTTCCATTAGGTGCCAAAAAGGCCTGTAGATCCCATCTGTGACCTCTGCTTTGAGCGTCGTATGTAGATCTTGAATAGTATGGCTTCTTTAGCTCAAGACCATATAAAGGACATTATATATATGGTGACAATCCGTTGTTATTTTTGGATGTCTCTATTCGCGGCGAGGGAAGTACATATACAGACTATCAATAATTAATGTAGGAAAGATACAGCACAATTTTACTAGATCAATGCAAGAGCCATGGTCTTTGCCTATGGGTGAGAGGGGTGTTCTATCTGTTCTGTTTCTTGTCTGACAATGAGCCGTAGAGGTACCACTAGCAATGAGACTACAGATAGAGATAAAAGTATATAGTAGATACTTTGAGCTTATCTTGAGCGAAACAAAAGTATCGATTGTACAGAGATCTTATATATAAAGAGGGATATATATAGCTTGTCTAGAATGCATAACAGGTTGAAAGTGGATGAGTGGTTCTTTGTAAATATATGGGGCAATCACGTGATAGGCTATTAAAAGTCGCCGCAATTATTTTTTGCCTTCCCTTTTCCCTCTTCACTTCTCCTTTTTTTTTTTTCTTCCTCACCATGAATCTGTATTCGTCTTCCATGTGTTTAATGCTGGCACTTTGATCAATCCTCTGGTCATAAATCAATTTTAGATGTTGATTTTGATCGGCTTCACTTACTAACCACTTTCAAATGCAACCTCTCATCGTGGTTATTTGATTCATTGAGAGGTAGTTAGATATATCTATATAGTCTCGTCGTCTGTTTACTCTCATCCACCCTGCAGTTCCTTTGGCCAAACCACACATTCCTTCTTCACTATTCGCATGATGAACAATTTCAAGATTGAACTGGGCTGTCAATACACTTGGACTCCCGGGGCATGATCATTCATACACTGAAAATTCTGATTGAATAAGAAGACCCATTATGTTACCTGGAGTTGATTCTGCTTTTTTCCACCTATGTAGCTACAAAGAGCTCAATGAAAAAAAAATTTATACATTCCTTGGTATCACAACAATGTATCAAACACCATTGTAGTGAATTCAATCAATATCATACATGTACGAAAGCATCTCTGGACATAAGAATACCTCAAGGTCGTCCATTCCCACCATTCTGAGCTCGACTCTCATCGAGTGCTTGTTGAACCCACGACTCGTCTTTTCTCTCGAATGGCGTAGCTCGCCGATAAGAACTGGGCCCCGGTGCTTGGATCTGGGCATCTCGCCGTGCAGTACGGATAGAACTAATGCAGTATGAACAAAGCAGGACAGCCATCGTAAAAGCTGCAATAGGAGCATTGAGAGACTAGATGAACATCAGCATAAAGTAAATATTGGACAGTGTGGATAAGAAAGCAAGTGGGATAATAGTGTTTAGATGTTGGACTTGGCAACGCATTGTACATACCCCTTTTGGCTTGCCTAAAGCTTTATGATTTGACCCTTGTTGGGTCATCGTGTAAGGAGTATATGTGTTCGATTTTGACTTTGGCTTGAGCTATCCTGGGGCTCACCTTTGCCAGCAGGATTTATTAGAGAGAGTTGTCGCTTCTTGGCGATAGACAAGACAATGTTGAGCGAAAGTGACGGAATCCAAAGAGCAAAAAAAAAAGAAACCAAATCAACTTGATGAGAAATAGATCAGGGAAATGGTGGTGGTATGTAGTAGATGAAGGTACCTAATAGTGGTAGGGAGGCGGAGAGCGGAGCGGAGAGTGCAAACAGGCTAAATAGTTGCATCATTCAATCAGTCGATGCCGACGTTCTCAGGCCGTTGACACACCCATCTGACGATAGCACCCTATGGCTTCTGAAGCCACCCCATCAAGAGGGGGCATGTCCCTGTATGCCAACCTACTTGATCCCTCTACTGATACGCCTGGCACCGTCTCCCGTGCCCCTGTTGTCTTTAAGCAGTCGGAAACCGAGCATCAACCCGACGATGCGGCCGCCAAGAAGCAACAACTGAATCCTGGTACTTATACTTGGCTTGTTGGATAACATGAGTGACACATGCTGACATACTCTTCTTCTCCATAGCTTCTCTTCGGTTCCAACCCCCCAAAAGACCACAGCTCTCAGCCCAGAAGCCCAAGCCGAAACATACTTTACCCAAGGCGGCGCCACAAACACAGCCCTTAGCTAACCAAGCTTCGGGACCGACAAAGAGCACTTTGGCTGATTGGACTGCCATTGAAGATGACGATTATGAATACACGCGCGAGAAGCGACAACGCGGTGGAAGAAAGAAGCGCAAGAAGAACTTTGAAGCACATGTTGTTCAGAACTGGGATGATATTTACGACTCTTCTCGACCTACCAATAACACAGAATACCGCCATAACGAAGAAAAGATCAATGAAGTCCGCGAGTGGGAGGATTGCTTATATGCGCGTGGCAGAAAGCGTTCAACAAGCAGATTTTCAGATAGCGAGGATTATGACCGGCCAAGAAAGCGTATGTACGCTTCTTCTGCCAATGGCGACGACATGCAGACTAAAAACATATCACTAGGACAATTTGCGCCTCCAAGCAACTTTGCGCCGCCCCCAAATCTCAATGATGCGCCACCACCAGCTTCGATCCCCAATGACCCATCCGGTGAGGATGCATTTGCCCGCCGTGCTGCATTAGGGCAACGCTTCGACAATGATTCTGTCGCTTTTCAGGTACAACTGCCGACCTCATCATCACCCCGAGCCCAAAATCTCACCCAAATCCCCGATAACCCATCATCGGGACAAGTCATACCACATCCTTCTCAAACACGCCCGCTCGATGCCTTTCAGCCTGGCTCCGCAACTATCTCCCGTGCACCAGTTCGATACACCCTTCCACCACCCCCAGAAGACATCCCAGCCTCTGAAGCTGAACTTGCAGCTGTATTGGCCCAAGAGCAGCCGACAGAGGAGGAAGAACCAGATGAGTCTGCACCAAGATCCCTTCGTCCGGGGCAAAAAGGCTTCGCAGAACGACTGCTTTCCAAATATGGTTGGACCAAGGGATCTGGGCTCGGCGCTACTGGCTCTGGTATGGTGAATCCTTTGCAGGTCAAGGTTGAGAAGCGCAAGAAGCGACCGGATTCAGAGGGCGGTGGCTTTACAACACCTGCTGGGCGTGGTAAGATTATCGGAAACAATACGAAAGGTGAATATGAAACCAGCAAGTTTGGCCCAATGAGCGAAGTAGTCATCCTACACGGCATGCTGGATGGAATGGATCTGGATGCCGAGATTGAGGGTGGCAATGATGGTGGCTTGATGCAAGAGATTGGAGATGAATGTCAGAGGAAGGTACGTTTCCTTTAGTCAATGGGTTTGGAGGCTTTCACTGATTTGAGGGACTCATAGTATGGAGATGTAGTGCGAGTCTTCATCGCTCGCAACGTCGGCACCCCAGTCCCGGTCTTTGTCAAATTCCGCGATTCCTTGTCTGGCCTACGGGTAAGCTTCTGAGATCTACATCTCGATTCAAATGTGAGTTTGTGCATTGCTGACCATTGCAAAAACGATAGGCCGTGAACGCGCTTGAAGGCCGTACATTCAATCAAAACATAATCACCGCGCGATTTTTCGACACCGAAAAATTCGACCAGGGCATTTACACGAAATAATGGCCCATCTTCGTGCCATTTTATGTATGTTACGATACCTCAACCGTTTATTACTTCATGCATTGTCGACTATTGCACATACGATAGGCCGTGCATTTGCATGAAGGCCACGTACTCGATGGCAACAAAGTCATAGGACTTCTTGACTTTTCTTTCACCAGGGCTTACATGGCCGATCGCTTGTTTCCATGCCCTTTTGTGTACTTAAATATGTTAACGACAATGTTCGATTTTCATGATGTTGCTCTAGTAATTTCTGATTGCATTTTAATGTTCTCCGAGACCATACCTTGTACTAACACCAAACGCAGATTGCGGAGCATCTCAACAGTACATCATCCAACCCCCTACGAAATCTCAAGAATCTCAGTCACAGGGTTCCATCCCACTACTCTATTCCACCAATCTATGGCCCTGACAACTTCCTAACAGGAAGGGGAATCCAAGAACGCCAAGTGCGATGATCTCTCTTCATTTTAGAAGTTCGAAGCAGAGGCTCTATTACTGAAATATTGTCATCGGCGATAAACGCCAGATATGTACGATTCTGCTGGTTATGCACCGGCCTAGTAGGAAGTGGAATTCGAGACCGCCAGCTTCGCTTCGTCTGGCGCTGGAGGTCGTCCTGCAAAGGCTCGAATCTAGACTGCTCTTCATGACCTGCAGAATCATCAGCATATTCAACTACAGGTACATGAGGTAAGTGAGGCGAGGATGATTGCATTAGGGTCGGTATGCACGGACCCATATGGAATGAAGCACGAGTCTCCTGGCTCTCAGCCCTACGAGTCAAACTAGGAGACTGAGAGTTCCGCGTTTCCATTTCAAGTTCCTCAGCATCGCTCTCGCTTATGCTCCAATTGTCTTCGTCGTTATATTGGAGCGCGTCGCATATTGCAGACCAACGACCCTGTCTCCGCAATTCGCGGAAGGTAGATCGACGTAGCATTAGCCGATCAAGTCTGCATTGCAGACAACTCCCTTCAAGGGGGAGAGGGGTTGTGCCTTGGTGCTCTTCGGTACACTCGTAACCCTTTTTGTAGGCTTCGTGGCACGCAATCAGGGATGTTGCATCCGGGTCTTGGTGCTGGCATATGGCAAAGTACCAGGTAACTGAATGGCACATGACGATATATGATACTGTAGCTTGGAAGTATCGTTTGTAAATCTTGCTGGTAGGGGCTTGGATGGAGGCTGATGAGTGTAGATGGGATGGGTATGAGAGAGAATATGCCCAAACGTGTAGAGCTTCCTTTTATATTCTCTGAAATGGCCTAGAGCTGCATTATCCAGCGGTCGTCCGGCTTTAGGTTCGAAGAAAGGAACATTTTTTCATCCACTCAATCTTTATCATAGCTACATATGTACCAATTGTTTCTGACAAAGGCATTATGCATATATCGTGTCTGATTCTTTGTTATCTTGGGAAATATATCCACGCCTTTGTTTAAAACCGTGTAGACGATTGTCAGAAGTGGAGAGTTTTTGATTAGTGACTCATTCAGTCTCATATCAAAGGTTGTATCAGATATTAGGTAGAGCTCACCTCCAATCTAAGGCTTGCTGCTTTATGTAAATATTCTGACAGTTGGATATCGTCAACCATTTCTCTACACAAGAATACGTCTAACTGATCGTATTTTCAATTTGATGAATAGAGCACATGTATAGACATGTTGAGTCATAACAAGATCATTATCCGAAGTAATGATACTCCTCGCTTATGCATTTCTTTCTTCTTTTGCTAGGATACGAAATACGATTGATTTTCCCCCTTCAAATCAGGTGGTTTCACCGCACCTCTAGATGTCGGCTTCGCGCTGGCCATAAAGGCGGCGGTGCCACGCCTAGTAATTACCATTTCCGCTTGCTCTTCGTTGGACATATAGTGAAGGTTCGTTGTAGGTGTAGCGATAGCTAGGGTAGCCTCAATCCTAAGGATGACTGAAGAGACATGCATGTTAGCAAATACAAGCTGGAAAAAGGAGTTACAAGCATGGATGTATATAGACCCACTCCAAGGCTGATTTTGATTGGAAACCATCAGGATCGTGAGGAATGCTTATAATTGAGAGCTGTCAGAGGGCGGGGATGTAGATCATGACCTATGTTAGTACATACTAGATACCGTCGATCATCGGTTGTTCACTACATCCTAAGTACTTTTAATGATACTTATGCATCACACTGATCGAGATAAGCCGAGAGAAAGTCAGTTGATGCGAAGGCTTATACACACTTCACATCATATTGGCCAGTCAACTTGCCGGCTATTGCTTCTCTTGCTCATCCATTCTGACTTTGTATACTCATAGGAATTGGTACGACAACAAACCCTTTGATAGCTCTTGAGGAAGCGCCACAATATGGTAGCACTTGAATCCTTCAAAGATCAGCTCTAAAGATCAATCCACAGCGAAGACACGAACTCAGATCCTAACAGATCCCAACAACACTTCTAAATCCATTATATCGAAAATTTGCCACAAGTCACATCTCTGTCTCGTTGCTTCGTAGATGATTTCCACATTTCGATGGCCCTGATTACGGACTACCGACTATTTCAGCAACACGGTTTCTCCAGGTACTTAACAACTATATCAGCCCTTCCAACCGACCTCCACGATGCAAGAAAGACCGCAGAGTCAGTTGTAATTGCTATTCAAGCCTAGCAATAGAAGTGAGGCTCCTGGGACGGTTCCTGAGCAAGACCGCGGTCCCTGTACGTATTACATAAGCAACCTCATTGTTCGCGTGGGGAGGTCAATTGCTATCACCTCCCCGGCTTTGACGATTGCCACCTTTAAAATCTCCCACTCATCACCTTTTTCTCCCTCTCTCATTACTCATTCACAACCACTCATCCTGCTTACCACCTTACCTACAACGAATCTGCTTCTTTGTGCTGCTTGATCTTCTTTCACTCTCCGCGAGTTAACCTATCTCAGCTACTGACCCGCTGAACACTATCCGAGATGTCGTTGTGCCAGAACCGTCTCCAAGAAGAGCGGTAAGCAAATTCCATTGTCTCGTGTTTTTGCGCTTTTGCGCATCGCTTGCGCTACACTCGAACTTCTTGCTGATCTCCATGGATTCCCTAGAAAGCAATGGCGTCGCGACCACCCATTTGGCTTTGTCGCAAAGCCGAAACGTGCCCCGCAGGGTGGCCTGGACCTGAAGAATTGGGAATGCGCCATCCCAGGGAAGGCCAACACTCTATGGGAAGGTGGTCTTTTCAAAATCGACTTAATTTTCCCCGATGGTGAGTGGCGCACATACATTCATGAATACTGAAGATCCCTATGCTAATCTAGATTATTCCACGATGCTAGAATATCCTACCAAGCCCCCCAAATGTACGTACCTTTGCGATATACTCTGGTGCTAGTCCGCTAAATTGGAGCGTCTGCCCGGAGCTATCACGATGATTCCTGGTTACAATCTCACACTAACACATTAACTATCTAGGCAAATTCACGCCGCCACTGTTCCACCCCAATGTCTATCCGTCCGGAACTGTTTGCCTGTCAATTTTGAATGAGGAGGAAGGTTGGCGACCTGCAATCACTATTAAGCAGCTCTTGCTTGGCATCCAGGATCTCCTAGATGACCCGAACCCTGAGTCACCTGCTCAGGCTGATGCTTACAACCTCTTCAAGAAGGATCGTCCTGCTTATGAGCGTAAGGTTCGCATCGCTGTCAAGGAAAACCAGCCCAATTAGGACACCAGCATAACAAGGCTTTGATTACCCAAGCGTAAACAGCGATGGCGCTGCAAGGGTCATTTACTTTTTTGTTCTTTCAGCATGGGGGTACCGGGCAGATTGTGGGATGATTATGCATTTATTGTAATGAAGGAAGCAATTTTTGCTTTTCTATCGCGAGCATGGCGTTGCTACATATCCCAATGGATGGCGTTTTCTGGACTTAGGGTCATTCAAACACAATAATACAACATACATGCTCCCTCCCGGGATGCTGAGGCCTGCCATGTATTGAGTACAGGATGACTCCTACAGAAGAAATCCAATGTACTTGTCTGCTTTTGTGCATATATCAAATCACTCGGGCAACCAGCAGAGCATCCATACCACGCTGCGGCGATTGAATGTGCCCATGGTGGGTCTTTTGAGAAGCTGCATTCAAGCTGCCTTTTTAATTGACAAGATACCGATCCTGAAATGTATATAGTCGATGAACCAAATTTAAATCGGCGAACCTTTCCTCATCTTGAACTCTAATGTTGTAGGATTATGTACTAAATGCTGCATAATAGGTAGCAATCAACTAGAGCTAGATCAATACATCAACGTAGATCAAATTCTAACGACCTCGGATAACGCAAAATCAAATAAGCAACAACTTGGCGGGGCTGTTGGTTGGGCACTTCCGCCAGTTTAGTATTGAGGTATAAATATAATACCACATAGGCCCAAAACGAGAAACCACAAGAGTGGTATTTGGCACAATAAAAACAGATCATACCTATACAATCTCTGTGTATCTCGCATAGATCTCCATATTCTCAATATGGAGACTGGTACGATCTCGTCTCTATCCTCTACACTTCCTCCCCAAAAAAGACCACAGCAGTTGTAGTTATAATGAGATATGTCCAAGACTTTATGCCGATGGTCGGACGACAATACGAGGAAGAAGCTTCACATCGGTTTATTTTTTTCTCGGGCAGTAGAGTGTGACAATCCTCTTGAGGGCTCACGGGACAGCCCAGAAGAATATTTGGATAACCAGACCTGGAACTAGTAGCAACTCTGAACAAGTCGTACGTTGCAGGTGGATTGATACCTTGAAACCACGGTGGGTAAGTTGACTTATTGTTTTTATCATCCACAATTACAAGACGTATATGACAATTGATATTGCACTTGTGATGCTTTCAATCTCCACATACAGACTGGAAGGAAGAGGGAAAGATAAACAGAGATCATGATGGATGACGTGTTATTGGAGTTGATATTGGTAGCAAGGCTAGAACAACTATGCACATTGTGTGAGCGATGAGGAGATAGGGATGTGTATTGGCTCCCAGCAAATATGAGAATGACATGTACTATTAGGAGGAGGAATAGTTGGATGAACCCTCGGTATACACTTGGTCCTGGAGGGGCTTGGTTAGGGCTATAGTTCATGGTGGGGGTACAGTAGTCACGTGACTCAGACACTCTTTGAGGACCTCAGGCTGAGACAGACCAATAACAATATGATCCGACAAAAAAAAAAGGGCTCAATGGCCACCTAGGTACATACATATACATATGCATATTCACCGTAGAATCTTTTTAAGTAGAAGCTGACTGGACCAAGAATTCAGGGCTCTTATCTTATCGGTGAGTCAAAGACTTGCCGACATCGCCCCTCGCCCCGCCGGGAAGGCACCGGGGCAAATTTGAAAAAAATCGCCGTTCTGAGGTTCCCCATATAACCGGACGATTAGTCAATTGCTACCCTTCTTCCCGACTCTCTCCTCCCTAATTGATCTTCATCTCTACCCACAGTTCCCAATTGCCCATCATGTGTGGAATTTTCGCGTGCCACCAGTGCGTCATGTCCTACCCTAACTACCCGCGTCTAGGATGTCAAATTTGGGGAATACTAACCAGGGTATAGTCACCCCGATGTGCAAAAGTTCAAGCCGACGGCTTTGCGCATGGCCAAGGCGTGAGTATCTCCATTTCTTCTTCAGTGACTTTGCAATTAGCAGTTCGCAATTTGCAATCTATAGAATTTTCGCTAACTCATACTCTACCATAGTGTGCGCCATCGCGGTCCCGATTGGAGTGAGTCACAGAGTTACAACTCTGCGCAGTATATGTGAGAAATATAGGGTTAACAAAACTTCTTCAACAGGTGGAAACTTCTGCGCCGAGAGCACTAGTGAGTCCATACGCAATAACTTGGTGTTGGTGTGGTATGCTAACGTGTGATTCATAGTCCTGGCGCACGAGCGTCTGAGCATCGTCGGTGTTGGTACGTAGCCCCTGGGATCGATCAATAACTTGGAGTTATCTTTGCTAACCGTGCCTCCTTAGACTCCGGTGCCCAGCCCCTCGTCAACGAGGATAGCACCCTGGCCCTCGCCGTCAACGGTGAAATTTACAACCACCGCCTTATTCGCAAGAACCTTCACCACAAGTACAACTTCAAGACGCACTCTGACTGCGAAGTCATCATCCCCTTGGTACGTTATGCCAAATTTAATGGAACCGAGGTTTGAATTGAAACGCTGATATATCTTAGTATGAGGAGTACGGCCTTGATGCCCCTAAGCACCTTGATGGCATGTTCTCTTGGGTTCTTTGGGATAAGAAGCAGGACCGGGTTGTTGCTGCCCGTGATCCCATTGGTGTCACCAGCTTCTACCTTGGCCGGTCCTCGTCCACTCCTGGCGCCGTCTACTTTGCCTCTGAGCTTAAGTGCCTGCACCCCGTCTGCGACAACATCATTGCTTTCCCCCCGGCCACGTCTATGATTCTAAGACCGACACCCTGACCCGCTACTTCGAGCCCAAGTGGTGGGACCCCACCAACGTCCCTTCGACCCCGGTCGACTACAAGGTGATCCGCCACAGCCTCGAGAAGGCTGTCCGCAAACGCCTGATGGCCGAGGTGCCTTACGGTGTTTTGCTGTCTGGTGGTCTGGACTCCAGCTTGGTCGCGTCTATTGCTCAGCGTGAGACCCTCCGCATGGCCGAAGCTTCTCGCAACGCGCCTCAGACCGAGGCTGTGGACGGCGAGTTGGTTGGCATTGATGACGACAACGAGTTGTCGACCGTCACCACCTTCCAGCAGTTGCACTCCTTCTCCATCGGTTTGCCCGGCGCCCCCGACACCGCGGCTGCCATTGAGGTCGCCAGATTCCTCGGCACCAAGCACCACCCCTTCACCTTCACTGTTAAGGACGGCCTCGATGCCCTCTCTGATGTGATTTACCACCTCGAGACCTACGATGTAACCACCATCCGTGCCTCTACTCCCATGTACCTGCTCTCCCGTAAGATCAAGGCCATGGGTGTCAAGATGGTTTTGAGTGGTGAGGGTTCCGACGAGATTTTCGGTGGTTACCTCTACTTCCACGCTGCCCCCAACCGTGAGGAGCTCCACAAGGAGACCGTCCGTCGTGTCAAGAACTTGCACTTGGCTGATTGCCTGCGTGCCAACAAGTCCACCTCCGCATGGGGTCTTGAGGCCCGTGTTCCTTTCCTCGACAAGGAGTTCCTTGAGACTTGCATGGGTGTTGACCCCAAAGACAAGATGATCACCCCGGAGCGTATCGAGAAGTACATGCTGCGCAAGGCTTTCGACACCAGCGACGAACCCGAGACCGCTGCCTACTTGCCTGACAAGATCCTTTGGCGCCAGAAGGAGCAGTTCAGCGATGGTGTTGGCTACAGCTGGATTGATGGCCTGAAGGATGAGGCTGAGCGCCAGGTCACTGACGAGATGATGAAGAACCCTAAGCCCGAATGGGGTACTGATGTTCCCGACACCAAGGAGGCGTATGTTCTGCTCTTTTTTCCACTTTATCCTGTTGAAAACTAACTGAAAGTATAGATACTGGTACCGTACCATGTTCGATGAGCACTTCCCTCCCTACTGCGCCGGCACTGTCGAGCGCTGGACCCCTACCTGGTCGAAGCAGACTGACCCCAGTGGAAGGTAAGCTATCATCATTGCTTTTTTTCTTCCCTATCTTTTCATTGTCTCTAACATTAATTGCAGAGCCATCGCCATCCACAACCAGAAGTATGACGAGTCGGAGTAAAAAGCCCTAGAGGATAAACAAAAGGATCTGAAAGTTTCTGATTTAGCATTTTCTTTGGGGGATATAGCACCGGATTAGATTGTATATACCCTTTTTGGTATATGTCGGTATAATGTTATGATCTCAATTTATTTTTCTTGTATTTCCACGTGACCTTGTCCAAACATTACCGGCGGGCTTTCCCGGCAGCCGGACAGCCGCCAATCACCGACCTCCCACTAACCCGTGCTAAGCCCCTAGGTTCCCCCAACATCATCACAACTCTTCTTTTCCTCTTTCTTCATCTCTTCATAGAATCTCTTCTCTCCTCCATCTTTAATTAGACCTCTCTAGTCAATATGTCTGCCCCCGCTGCTTTCTCCGATATCGCCAAGGCGACCAACGATGTACGCACAACTGTTGGGAACAAAACTCAGAACTTTGGCTAATACATCCCAAATAGCTCCTTAACAAGGATTTCTACCACTCCGCTGCTGGTTTGTATATCAATGGCATCGCGCCACTTATCTAAGCTTCAATAGCTGATGAAAACTTTTTAGCCAACCTTGAGGTCAAGTCCAAGGCCCCCAACGGTGTCACCTTCACCGTCAAGGGAAAGTCTGCTCACGAGGGCCCCATTGCTGGCCAGGTTCGTTGGATACCATTCCAAAGTCATTTCACGGATTGCTAATTGGTGTGCTTACAGCTCGAGGCCAAATACGTTGATGCGCCTACTGGTAAACGCCCCTTCCACAAAAAACCTCCAGATCCCGGCGCGCACAAGACCCGTCTCGTGCAATTGATGTTCGGATGCGGTATTCCAATAGCGCGCCGGGTGAACTTATTCATTTATTCGGATGCCATGGTGCACAGGATAAGGCTAATATGCTCACTCCGACCAGGCCTCACCCTCACCCAGGCTTGGACCACCGCCAACGCTCTCGACACCAAGCTCGAGCTCGACAACAACATCGCCAAGGGCCTCAAGGCTGAGATCCTGACCCAGTACCAGCCCGCTAAGCAGTCCAAGGGTGCTAAGCTCAACCTGTACTTCAAGCAGCCCAACCTTAACGCCCGTGCCTTCTTCGATCTCCTGAACGGCCCCACCGCCAACTTCGACGCTGTTCTCGGCCACGAGGGCTTCCTCGTCGGTGCTGAGGGTGGCTACGACGTGAACAAGGCCGCCATCACCAAGTACTCCGCTGCCGTTGGCTACAGCGTTGCCCAGTACTCCGCTGCCATCACCGCCAGCAACAACCTGTCCCTCTTCTCCGCCAGCTACTACCACCGCGTCAACGCTCAGGTCGAGGCCGGTGCCAAGGCTTCTTGGGACTCCACCTCCGGCAACGCTGTCGGCCTCGAGGTGGCCAGCAAGTACCGCCTGGACCCCTCCTCCTTCGCTAAGGTTCGTTTTACGGGTTCAAAGGGTTGATATAGCTTTTGTGAATCACGACTAATCGCGCAATTTTCTCGCAATATAGGCTAAGATCAACGACCGTGGTATTGCCGCTTTGGCTTACAACGTCCTGCTCCGCCCTGGTGTTACCCTCGGCCTCGGTGCCTCTTTCGATACCCAGAACCTGAACCAGGCTGCCCACAAGGTCGGCGCCAGCTTCACCTTCGAGGCTTAAGCGTCTAGACCTTCAGCTCCCCCAGGAACCTGACTGATGACCTACCATCTTTTGGGAAAATTTTTGCAACTTCCGTTACTAGTTCATTCGTCTTGCTGATTTGCCGGAACGATGATTATGGTGGCGGGGTTACCTCCAAGATAATAACTATGTGTGCTGTCGTAGATCTTTCTGCCCCATCGCCCTTTTGTATATCAAATCCAACTGTTTCATTTGTGGATCTACGTGATCGATTAATACGATTTAACGCTCCGCGAGGTGCTTGTAGCTGTTCAAGGGTAGAAGCACGTCCATTGGTAATGTACGTAAAGGAACTATATATGTACAAGAAACTACACTCATCCAAGTATCTATATTATAACGAAGTGAAACAGCTGCGTCAAGAAGACAAACTTCCCCTTTGCTTCTTCCTGTCCCCATCAACAACCTTAGGAACCGACCGCCAAAAGTCCACTACAACAAGCATAACAATCAGACACCCGGAACAAAGAAAGAACCTTGAAACCGTCTGATCAACCCTAGGATCAGGGGTATCCCTATCCTCATCAATCCTCCTGGCCTCCTTCCTCCTTTCCCTCCTCCTTCTATCCTCCGCCGACTGCGTCCGGAAATGACCCTGCGCGTTAAAATGATTCAATGGATTCCGACGAATAAACCCCTCCCAATCCTCAGGATCAGCATGCTTCGTCTCAGCACCACCGCCAGTCCCGAACCCCGTCCCAGCACCACCACTCCCACCGCCAGCCGCCCACCCCTGTGCCTGCCTCCCCGTAGTGCCATATCCGCCCTGTTCGTAAAAACTCGGTGGCGCACCGCGGAATGCAGTTCGCCGCTTGCTCAGCCCGCTGGCGGGGCGCGAGCCGGCATAGCTGCTGTGACTGCCCATCGGGTGTTGGTGGCTGTGGGTCTGGCCTGGGGAGGTGTGTTGAGGGGTGTGGAAGCCGTGGTCACGGTCGTAGGTTGCGCGTTTCGAGACGTTGCCGAGGACGTTATAGGCGGCGGAAATGCGGGCGAAGCGTTGGCCTGCGTCTGGATCTGTACGGTTGCGGTCTGGGTGGTGGCGCATTGAGAGGGCATAGAATTGTCTAGAAGTTGGATAAATATTAGTGTACATGTAGAATAAGAGAGAGAGGAAGGGTAAAAGGGTAAAGGTGTTTATGGCGTGGGTGTGGTGGTGGTGTACTTTTTAATCTCCGCTGCTGATGCGGTAGTGGGAACGTCGAGGATTTCGTAAAAATTTAGTTCACGGGCCCGGGCATGAGCTGGGTTGCTTGTTGAGAAGAAGAAGATAGATGGCCTTGAGCATTGTTGTGGTCGCTGGCGTGTGTGTAATTGTGGTCGTAGAGGTTGGGTTGAAATGCTCCGGTAGGTTGAGAGAGAGGCAGAGAGGGTCGCGCGCGGAAATAGGACTAGTGTTACTCGAGGAGAAGGCATTGTGGTATATTTGAGGATGCGGCATTGACATGAATAGGAGAATAAAAACCTGAGTAAGGTGAAGGAGGGAGAAGCGGGAGCAGGGAGATCGGGGGTGAAGTTCAGAGTGGCGTCACTGCGGTTCGAAGTTGATGGGACTCTACAAGTATATCACGTATTCATCACTGGCTATGGGCAGATCCTGCAGCATAGTTTCATTTTATCTAGCCTCTCTTATCTCTTGAAATAACAAATTAAATGGCATTTACCCTAAGCTGGGCAGCGCGATTAGCTCCAGCTGATGATCAGATTAGATAAGAGATCAAAGCCCTACCTACCTAGGTAGATAGGTACATGGGCATGTCGGACCGGAATCTGGTCCACTCCCTCGTGGGCAGGAATCCTCCTATAGATTACACTGGACTACTAGACTATGGAAGGACACCATTTGATCGGATTTATCGATAGGAAGACACTATTATCCAATAGATAAAATGTTCAAGAGAGAGTGGTGATTATCTTTCTAACTATATATATGTCCGACTTGGGCGGTCGAGCTATATAGCAGTATGGTATTTACCTGTATATTCTCATAGATATAACTAAGAGAATATTTTTTCTTAGAAGATCCCCCCTAGGGTTAGCGCCGACCCTAGTGATTGTTATTAGCCAGTTCTTCAGATAAGAGGGCATTGAAATAGGAACTCTAAGCATAGGGGAAGAAAGAAAGAGAGGAGGAACCGAGACTAGCAGGGTGGATGGCTCTTGATGAAGAAGAATTGGGTATAAGGACTGGAATGATCCACAGCCTCTTTAATGGTGTTGGCTTTGATAGACCGGAATTTCCGAGGAAACTGAGCCGAAGATAAAACACTAAATCTAGGCGGGCGGTTGGCAATATAGTCGGTGCTGATACGCTTAGTGGTGGTATTTGTATTGGAGAGGCGGGCCCAGAGTGAGGCGGTTGTTTGAAACCTCTGGCAGCCGGCGAGGTAGGCGGTAGATAAATCAAGGTATAGAGTGGGACAAATTTGGGTACATTTAGATGAAACTAAGTTGTATAGTGAGTTATAGGAACGATATCACATTTCTGACGGGCGTCAGAAAAGGAATATGTGATGAGACTGCCAAACTGCATCAAGGCCACTAATCTACGGGTTCTTCTTCTATCATAAGGTCAACTCCCAGCATCTAATCAGAAGGCGGACGATTTGCAGAGTTATACTTGTACTTGTAGTAGGATCGCAGGAGCTAAGGCAACATAAAGCAAAAGGACCCAGACTAGCATATAATATTGGGATCATATCCGCCTGCAAGCAGAAATTTGATGATAGTAATATGCCTTATGACTACCAAGCATGATGAGAGGTTGCACTGTCCCCGTCCACACAGCGTCTGATAAATCTACATTGAAGTAGACAATTGTTTGGCCACTGAACCCTTCCAAAGAAACCTCGGAAATCTCCAAAAAAATGTCTTATCTTATCAGCAAAATTCTTTCCCCGAGATCCGACATTCCCCTCTTTTTGCCTTGAACATACAACTTGTTAATTGCCACGTTCAAAATGGCAGCCCAGACTACAGAGAAGTTGGATCAGTTGGACCGTAAGATGTCTAAAATTCCTGTTTGACTTGTGGTGGGACTGATTAGATACCAGTGAACGTCCAAGCTGCACCCACAGCTGATCAGGTTCCTGCTGAAGCGGAGGAGGACTCGGACGACGCACCAGACGGCGAGACTGCCGCAGAGACTGGAGCTGCCGGTAAGTTTTTTTTTGTCATTATTTCAGTGACTGTGCCTTTAGGACACCACCCCACCTTACCCCCACCTAATCCCCACAGAAACCGAAAAGAGCTAACAAAGGAGTCAACTCTAGACAAAAAGAAAAAGAAGAAGAAGCCCAAGAAGAAGAGCAAGAAGAAGGGCGGCGCCAAGGTCCAGAGTGAGCCACCGCGGGTTCCCGTGTCCAGCCTCTTCCCCAACGGCCAATATCCCGAGGGCGAGATCGTCGAATACCTAAACGACAATGCCTACCGTACCACCAACGAAGAGAAACGATACCTCGATCGCATGAACAATGACTTCCTGGAGGAGTACCGCCAAGGTGCCGAGGTTCACCGTCAAGTCCGCCAGTATGCGCAGAAGAACATCAAGCCCGGTCAGACTTTGACTGAGATCGCAGAGGGAATTGAGGATTCAGTGCGCGCTCTGACTGGCCACTCCGGTCTGGAGGAGGGTGATAACCTTAAGGGTGGCATGGGCTTCCCTTGCGGTCTGAGCATCAACCACTGCGCTGCGCATTATACCCCGAATGCGGGCAACAAGATGGTTCTGAACCAGGGAGACGTGATGAAGGTCGATTTCGGTGCGCAGCTTAATGGCCGCATCGTCGACAGTGCTTTCACTATGTCTTTTGACCCAGTGTATGATCCTCTTCTCGCTGCTGTCAAGGATGCCACAAACACCGGTATCCGGGTAAGAGCCCCTACTCTCCTTCGTTTCCAGCAGGGCTGACAAGTTTCTAGGAAGCGGGAATTGACGTTCGGATGAGTGATATCGGAGCTGCCATTCAAGAAGCTATGGAGAGTTACGAAGTTGAGCTCAATGGCACGATGCACCCCGTCAAGTGTATCCGCAACTTGAACGGTCACAACATTGATCAGCACGTTATTCACGGCGGCAAGAGTGTGCCTATCGTCAAGAGCACCGATCAGACCAAGATGGAGGAGGGCGAAGTTTTCGCCATCGAGACTTTCGGTAGTACCGGTAAAGGTTACGTGCGAGAGGAGGTGAGTTTATATGGGAGAATTGGGCGGAGAATCAAAGCTAACACGACATCAGATGGAAACCTCGCACTACGCTCTCGCCCCTGACGCTCCTAACGTTCCTCTGCGTCTTTCTTCTGCCAAGAACCTGTTGAATGTGATCAACAAGAACTTTGGCACCCTTCCTTTCTGTCGCCGTTACCTTGACCGTCTGGGCCAGGACAAGTATCTTTTGGGCGTAAGTCAACGATGACGTTCATATGTAAAACACCGAAGCTGACGAATATAGTTGAACAACTTGGTTTCTTCTGGAATTGTTCAGGATTACCCTCCTCTTTGCGACATCAAGGGCTCATACACTGCCCAATATGAACATGTGTGTTTCTATTTTAGGATTTCTCCACTTGAGCCGTTTACTGACATTCTTTTAGACGATTGTGTTGCGCCCGAATGTGAAGGAGGTTATTAGCCGTGGTGACGACTACTGATTGTATTTCATAGACATACGTAAATACTAAAAGTGTCTTTCGAGTATTCAATTAGTAATGCCTTTTAACGTATTGGAGATATACCAAAACCCTTAGACCACAATGCTGATGCCAAGCATCAACCCATCAAGTATGCCGTGTCGCCCCACGTGGAACGACCGGCTCCCGACTTTTTAACGGAGCTCCTACCTCTCATGGCTCAAACTTCGACACACATCAATCTCCATTATGTCTGCGGTTGAAACAACTTCGCCGCACCTCCGAGTGTCGGCAGCCAAGGCATCCAGCAAAACACAACCAGAGTCCGCTAGAATCCAGGCACCGGAAGCTTTGGTCGAGGACCATTTTTTCTGGACATATACCGAAGAGCCGCATCGCTCAAGACGGCAAGCAATCATCAAGGCCCATCCGGAGGTATGTGATCTTGCTTTTGAGGGGACCCATGGTGTTATTGTGGCTCGCCGAAGACTTCAAGCGGAGCTTTTGCGGAGTTCCTGTACACACCCTGGCCACTTTCCTGGGCGACGGACAGCCTCAACAAATCCAATTGCAATGCTAATTCATGGGATTTTGTGTCTATAGGTTACCAAACTATGTGGCCCTGAGCCTCTTACCAAATGGGTCGTCCTCGGCGTCGTGTCCCTACAGCTCACCTGTGCCTATCTCCTCCGCAACACCTCAATACTCGATTGGCGGTTCCTGGCCACGGCATACGTGATTGGCGCGACTTGCAACCAGAACCTGTTCCTCTCCATTCATGAGATCTCTCATAATCTAGCATTCCGGTCCGCTTTCGCCAACCGATTGCTCGCCATTTTCGCCAACCTCCCTATCGGAGTACCGTACAGCGCAGCCTTCAGAGTACGTATACTGTTTCACATGCCAGGAATAAGTCGAACTACAAGAGAAACCATAGACTGACAAAATATCTCGAGCAGCCCTACCACTTGACGCACCACAAATCCCTCGGTGTCACAGGTCTCGACACCGATCTCCCCACAGCAGTCGAGGCCTTCTTCCTAGACTCCGTCCTAGGCAAGACCTTTTTCTGCACCTTCCAAATCCTCTTCTATGCCCTGCGCCCAATGTTCATCTACAGCCCACCCTTCACCTACATCCACCTCCTGAACATAGCCGTCCAAGTAAGCTTCGACTACGCCCTTACCAAACTATGCGGCGGCAGCCTCCAACCAGTGCTATACTTCATAATGAGCTCATTCCTCGCCGGCTCCTTGCACCCCTGTGCGGGTCACTTTATCGCAGAGCACTACTTCTTCTCCAATGTGAAGGGCGGCGGCACAGAGTCTTTGACCGAACTGAAGAAGAACGAGAAGTCCAAGGCCCCGCACCCGCTGGACTCCCTGCCTCCCCCAGAGACATACTCGTACTATGGCCCGCTCAATATCCTCACTTACAATGTCGGCTTGCATAACGAGCACCATGATTTCCCGGCTATCCCCTGGACCAAATTGTACAAGCTACATGAAATTGCGAGCGAGTTCTATGAGCCGCTGCCTTGCCACCGAAGCTGGGTTTGGGTGATTTGGACTTTCATCTTGGATAAGAATGTTGGACCGTGGTGTCGCGTGAAGCGTGCACAGGGTGGACAGATCGTTGGTGGTGGGAAGCGCTGGAATGGACGTGGTGGTGAGGGCATCTCGGCTGCGTCGGCGGGTCCGGCGGGCGAAGAGGGCGATGGGTGGAAGGAGAGCGAGATTCAATGTTAGGTCTTGCTCTACCTTCAAAGTACGGAGTATATCGTTTGGTTTTGAACTCCAGCTGGTCGATCACATATATTATTGGTGGAGTTCGGTACTTGTATTTGTTAAATATATTTGTTTACAATAAAAATGGTCATCATGTCCAGTGACCGTGTCAATCAAATCGTTTCAGGTGCAAAGACAGGACCGAGTAATTGCAACCAGCCATACCGAACGATGGAGATGAAGTCCCCAGTTACGACGTGGAATTAGCTCAAGTAGCAATCACATGAATTATCCCGAGCTCGAGAATGGTTTATGAAACAAAAGAAAACGAATCGAGAAGCTGAGTTCGTTCATCATAGAATGATATTAGACAACACAGGAAGGGTGAAGAACAAAGCAAAGCACAACAAAGAAGAGGATGAGATAGACGTATGTTTAGCCTCAAGAGAAGTTCGGAAGTCCAGAGCGAGAACATGAAAGTGGAGTATTGATACTAGGGGGGAAAATCTCAAAGCAGACGCAAAAAAAGGCTGATGCAAGAACAGATAGAAAACGGCATGCTCTTCAAGAGACAAGAAGTAGATGGGAATTTGGGAGAGGCGTCAGCGACGTTAGACCAGGAGCATTGAGCACACGGAGAGTGGGCGCAATGAAGCCAGATAGACCGTGAGAAAGCGACAAATGGAAGGCCAGATTAAAAGAAGAAGTACGCGATCAAGAAGCTGAGCAGACACAGACATGCTACACTCTGGATCGAAACTCCACTGGCCGTTGGCACATGTGACTGCTGCATGTTGGCAGGCACAGCCTTGCCGGTAGCCTCTCCGCCGGTCTTCCGCTGCCGCAGTCCTTGGTCTGCGAGTCTTTCCTTCAGTCGCTGGATCTGCGCGTTGGCTTCGGACAGCTGGGATTTGAGTTCGTCGCTTGAGGGAAGAGCATTGACGACGGCGGATTTGGCGTTTGACATGACAGTTGGGGCCTCGCGCTGAGGAGACTGAGACGTCTTCTCGGAGAAATCGGGAGCTGGGATTGGGGATGGTTCATTGGAATCGATCTTCTTGGGGGCCGGAGTCTGGAAGTTTGCGCCAGCAGGAGAAGTGTAGGCCGGAGGTTCCTCACCATGTACCTGATAAAAGTTAGACTATGTGCATAGAAAAATGATTGCTGGCGAGCATACTGAATCATTGGCTGAAGTGGCATCTGTGGCTAGGTAGACAACTCGGATCTTGCGCTCAACCACATCGGCCTTGGGAGTTTGGTCGAACTAAATATCGATGTCAGTCACTGATCTTGATGTTCATGATCCCGAGTTCTGGACATACAATTTGGCCAACGCTAGCATCCTCCAAGCCACGGGAGACGGGGACGGCCTGAACCAAGAACTTATCCTTGCATTTGGCATCCGCAGCAGGATCCTCCTTCATAGCCTGAAGCAACACTATCGAGAGATGTGAGCCCGGAGTAATTCAGGTATACTCGCGTATCGACTAACCTTGAACTTCGACAGTCTTGCCCGGCTCGATGTGGCCTGAGTTAGGTCGCACACAGTAACTGGAGTATGGTTAGGTAAGAAATCTCGAGTAAAGACTTTGCGCAAAGAATCGTCGGGACATACTGCTTAGGAGCGGTTGTTTTGACCTAGTGCGCCGAGAACATACGTTAGTACTGCTTGTATGCCGCAACCAAGGCCGGAGGGGGATGGCGTCAAACATACCTTGAAAACCATAGATTCCGTATTCGGGTTGCTCAAGCGGAGAACCTGGCATACTTCATGATTAAAGGGACCTGTTATCAAGAGATAAGCTGTTGATCTAGACAAGTCTGAGATAGGTTCGAGGATGCGGCACTCACGCTTGAAGCCTAACTCGGAGGGCTCGATTTGGATAGTCATGGTGCGCGTGCTCAGAGTGAAAGAGTGGAAAGGAAACAAAGATGACAAGAGCACAGAGAAATGCACGCGATTAGATTTCGATTGGGAAACAAAGGTGTGGGAGGGTTATCAGGTCTAAGCCGATGTGATGCCTCAGGAGTTTGATTACACATGGGCACTTTCGGGGAAATTAGCTGAGTCAGCAACCAGTCAGGTGATGTCACTATTGACAATGTATACATCGTTTGAGTGGAATTTGCCTTTTTCATTTGCTGTGTTCAATTGGGATCTTAGCCATGAGACTGTATCTCTCATGCTTCACTAATCTTCCCTAGTTTCGTGCTATATCCTTGTATACTTGGGGGAATATCTCCCTCTACCTGCATATGATGCTTGCGGTGGGGTCAATTCCCACTTCTCTTTATTTTATACAATATATGTATTCCATATCCTATTGATAGCTCATATAGTGCATTCTGGTATTTTCTTAGCTAGAGCAAGCCAGCGTGCGCTCAATCTTCGTAGTTCAAATGCAAAGAGCTGTGGCCTTAAGACATACATTGATGACCCTCGCCCCGGATCAATTTATGTCGATATTAATATTTATTGCATTAAATAGATGTCATCCCAGCTTGTCAATGATATAATAGTAGATTTTCAGTGTCCTTTATATGTTAAAGGGTAGTAATTCATTCACAATAAAGGTGCCTCGTAGAACTCACATCCGTCGCAAAGACCCAGACCTGGGCATACAGCCTCACAGCCACTCAAACATATAAGCGGGAGACACGTGAGTAGGTACCTCACACAAATAATAGAGAGGTGTAGTTGACATTTTTCAATTTTCAAGGGCTTAGAAATCTCGAAGTAACCCTTCAACACACCATTGAGAAGTTGATGCCATAGAAACCTGGGGAAGGCAAGTGGGCCTTATCGCTCGCCGCCTTTCTGATACGTCACCCACTCTGTTCTCACTCACTTCTGAACTTATCTGATTCAATCTTGACAAATTGTCTTTATTTTCTAAGCGTCTCATACCGTTCTACTTTTTTTTTCGGGCATTCCATCAGTCGTCATGGCATCGGACCTGGACCAACTCATTGAAATGGGCTTCGACAAAGAGCGCGCCCAACTCGCAGTGACGAAGACTGGAGGCTGTAAGTTTCTGTCCTTTCCCCTGATACCAACAACTATCCTCTGACTGGCTGGATAGTGCAAGGTGCCTTGCAGTGGCTCGAGGACAATCAGGACAAGTCATTGGACGAGATACAGACACAAGCCCAAGACGCACAAGACGAAGAGGGCCCTGCACTTCAACCAGGCGAACAACCACGCAGCTTGGTATGCAACGAGTGTGGCAAGAAGTTTAGAGGCCAGTCACAAGCCGAGTTCCATGCGTCAAAGTCGGGACATGTTGATTTCGCTGAGTCTACGGAGGAGATTGCTCCGTTGACCGAGGAGCAGAAGAAGCAGAGACTGACGGAACTGCGGGAGAAGCTTGCGGCGAAGCGCGCAGTGCTCTCGGAACAGGACAAAATTGACAAGAAGAAGAATGAGGTGTGCATCCCTGATCTTGGTCCCGAAAATAAGTTACTGAGAGCATTTTGCTGACTTTTGTTATTAGGAAATCCGAAGAAAGAGCACCAAGGAAAGCCAAGATGCCAAGGAGGAACTCGAGCGGAAGCAACAGTTGAAGGAGGCAGCCAAGAAGAAGAAGGAGAAACAGGATGAAATTGATGCCAAGAAGCGCATCAAGGCAAAGATTGAGGCCGACAAGGAGGAGCGTCGACTGAAGGCAGAGAAGCAGCGAGCTGAGCGTGCCGGTTTGGCTCCTCCTGCCCAGCCGGTTGCCGCCCCAGCACCCACTTCCTCCGGTCCCGCTACATCTAAACCCGCCTCGGCCTATACGGAAACTCGGTTGCGATTCCAGTCATCTAAGGGTAATATTATGAAGACACTGCCCGTTGATACCACGTTGTTCGAGGTTGCCGCCGCATTGAGGGAACAGGATGGGATTGAGGTCCAAAGCTTCGTGCAGAATTTTCCCAAGAAGGTGTTTGATAACGAGTTCTTCGGAGAGACCTTGAAGGAACTAGGACTTGTGCCTAGTGCCAGCCTTGTTATCCAATGATTGATGCATACCCTCCGAAATGATAGATAGCTTTGACAAAGAATGAGAAATGAGATAAAACTCGGAGCTTTAGCTTTTAAATGTAAATTATATCTCTATCAATCTTTAGCTATCTCTAGATAATGTGTTTTGTTTACTTCCAAGGTTGTATCGACTTCCAATTTCATGAAGCTTGGATCTTATCTTATCGTGTTATCATCATGTGAGATCGCGATGAGCCGCGTCTGGTGACTGAAGACAACGCGTTCGACACACCGTCATTACATCTGTTATCGAACTTGAGACTCATTTACAACAGAACATGCCAGCGTGAGACCCAAATCCTAGGACCTAGGTATCCTCGTATTCCATGATACCGAAGACTGATAGTGATAATTTCAGCGTTGGCGACCAACATCGCGGTGGTGCGGGATCTATTATGATGCCGAACGCTACAGGAGCCGCTACAGCAAACCCCTTCGAGGAACCCCAACGACGTATTAATGAATACACCGCACAAGAAATCGCAACACTACAAGCCCGTCTTGATAAAAAATTGGGCCCTGAATACATCTCCGCGCGACCTGGTGCTGCGGGACAGAAAGTGCATTATCTCTCCGCGGATAAATGCATAAACCTTGCAAATGAGGTGTTTGGATTTAATGGCTGGTCCAGCTCAATTCAGACGATTCAGATTGATTTTGTGCGTTGATAATACGTTTATCAGCTACATGGGAGATGACTAACGCTTATCAGGTCGAGGAGAATCAAAACACAGGCAAGATCAGCCTGGGGCTCTCAGTCATTATAAGAGTCACCTTGAGGGATGGAACATTTCATGAGGTAAAGAAGTCTCTTCAACATATTGATCTTGTCATATTAACCCCCGTCCTTTCTAGGATATTGGCTACGGGCATATTGAGAACTGCAAGGGCAAGGCCGCAGCGTTCGAGAAGGCCAAGAAAGAAGGCACAACAGATGCTTTGAAACGTGCATTGAGAAACTTTGGCAACGTGCTGGGTAACTGTATCTATGACAAGGATTATGTGGCCAAGGTGACCAAAGTCAAGGCAGCGCCTGTATGCTCCCCGAATTCCTCCAACTACCATGTGCCATACTGACTATTATAATAGGGAAGATGGGACGTGGAGGATCTTCACCGTCACCCTGACTTCGCGCCACCTAAAAAACAGGCGTCTTTGCCTAAACGTGTACCGGAAGAAGATGATCTACCACTACCTCGTCCTATACATCAAGCGAGAGGAAATAATCCCGGGAATAATGCATCTTTTGATGGGGATGGAGAGTTTGGCAGTATGTGTTAGAGGAACGTACAATTTTCATCTTGACTAATGATCTTTAGGTGATCTCTTTGACGAAGCCGATTTCGGGGTAGCTGAGACTGATACAGGCAACCCCGATGAGATTGTAGTATACACAGAACCTCACGGAGAACAGCAGCGCCATGCGCCAATGAACGGCCCAGCGGCTCAGAGAGGACCGCCTGTTCGAGCAGGTTTTAATCCCGCTGTCGTAACACCATCAAAACCAGAGCGATGGAACGGCACAGGCCAAGCGGGCCGACCTGATCCCTTAAATGCGCGACAGAACCCATCGGCTATCCCGTCTCCAGCCACGTTACAAGGTCGACCAATGATTGCTCAAGGTCATGGTCAAAATCTTGCAAACTCCAGATCATCCGTTCCACCACAACAATCAGTTGGCCAGAATGCTCTACAAAACAAGATTCCCCAGCCTCCGGTCAAAAGGGACACCGGCCCCGGGGTATCCTCGGGGAACCAGGACATGAACCCACCGCAAGGCACGCCGTCAACGGGTTTCTTTTCCGCCAGAGCAGTGGATCTTTTGCGCGAAAACCCAAATTCCATCCCATCGGGAGCGCCTCCATTCGATCCACACGCAGAGAGCCCCTCCATCCGCAAGACGGCTGGTGTAGATCATACCAAAAGCATTCCAATTGCCAGGCCGATGCTGTCGAGCGCCTCCCCAGCACCCTCACCAGCACCCTCACCAGCACCATCCAACAATAACAACAACACACGCGATTTTGTCAATCCTGCATCAGATCTGCAGCGCAGGGTCGGTGCTCCTAGCGGTGGAGTTAACAGCCCGGTCAATAGAGGTCTCTCTGTCTCATCATATCGACCATTGACCCGGCCCAACATCGATCAAAGGAACGTTTCCAACCCAGCGGTGGTTCACCGAGGCAGCATGCCATCCCAGCAGAATCATAACGGAAAACGACCTCCGTTGGTGGACGTCACCAATGCTGATGCTAAACCTGGCGCACATGTCCCGGCTCCCGGTCCAACTGACCCAAAACGGCCCCGAGTCTCGGATGCTGACTCTGGGCCTTCTTCTGGGCCTCGCCCACCAACGCAGTAATGAACACCATCTTCTTTGTCCTTTCCGCCCTCGAGGGTACATTACCGCGAAACTTCCAACTGCAAGCGTTCCTATTTCGTCAAAATCTCCTACTTTTTCTTCAATCTTCATCTATGGCCCGCCGTGTCATGTTATGAACAAGTACGGCAGGGAAGTGTGGCAGGCGTTCCGGAGTCCTCAAAGCAAATGGATCTACAGGGCCCCGGCGGGGAGAAACATGAGCTTACTGTATTTTGGTACATTCTTTCGGATTAGCATATTTTATTTTCGTCCTAAACAAACCTGGAGTCCAGCATGCCCTAGGAAAAGCATTGCCTAGCAAGGACCCTGCGCTTATCTGCGCAGAATTCCAATTTGAGCATCAATTACACTAGTACTAAAAATGAAACGTATCATCAGCCCCAGTTAGCTCCCGGCACTAAGAGTTGCCATCATGTTCAATACAAAAGTACGAACAGAGATTTGGAAAGCCTACGCCATAAGCTAGATGCCAAGATCCCGGTATAATAAAAGCAAGCAGAACGTCCTTCTCAAGCCACTCCCCGAGGGTGAAACCTGGGCCAATCGCGGAATACAGCAAATATCTAAACCCTGCTACCAACGCCACAAAGCACCCGGGTGTGCCCCTATGCAGGACGAGCCCAAGACACCGGGTAACAATTTTCATCGTCCGAGTTGACGGTATATTGGGATTGGCGGATTGGTGCATTAGCCTCCAAAAAAAGCAAAGTCGAAGTCCTAGTGAACCGCCCTCGAAGTTGGCAGGTTGATGCCTAGATTTGTGTCTGGGGCCATTGGGAAAGGAGCTCTTAAGCGTGCAGCGCAATCTGGTCTTTTGATTTTATTCCTTTCTTTTTGGTTTAATCGCTGGTAAAATTTTTTTTTTTTTCGTCAACGTGAGTTGCATTATGCAGCCAGGTTCCGAAACCCTGGCCCATGGTGTTGAACGTGTTTGGGTGCCTAATTTCTACCAAGGTAGACGAGTGCACTTGTGTTGATAGCTTTGTGGTCATCATGAGTTACATCTGATATTATTCTCTACCGAACCTTCTCTCGTATACCAGGGTCCAATAGAAGGTGAACTGGGGATCTGATCCTGAAGGTATTTCGAACTGGTACCAAGTTTTGAGAGTGCCCTGACTTGGATTGATGAACTTGGGTAAATTAAACTAAAATAGGAATAAAATAAAAACAAAAACCCAGAAAAGAATCAATTTATTTGCGATCTTCGCATAGAGGGGACTGGGATTCTGGGTCGGGTCCCCAAGCCCAAGCTACTGCATGCCTTTTGGATGTGCCAATCTCGCTACATGAACAGACCCGATGATCTGGACCCCCAGGGAGATGGTCAAGCGCCGACAGGCCACGAGTTGACTTATCGGCGTTTATTCTCCGGCTTGCTTTCGTGGAGCTTAAAAGATATTGTGCGTGTGCTGGTCCAAGATCGGTAGTAGACAAGGGTCTTTAGGGCTTGTTGTGTGAAGGTGGTGGCCACGAATCACTGTATGAGTGGGCATATTTAAAGAAGAGTTGATATCCCCGTCTATCGAGATCCAATTTCGCTTTTCTTTGTCAAATTACACAGCTCCTAGACATTATTCCGGAGGATATGACTCCTTTCATTGGTCTCATTCCCTTTATTCTGGTCTGCGCTCTGGCCTTGGTAGTGCTATACTTGAAAGTCCGTCAAGGATGGGGGGATACCACCAACGTCCCGATCTCACAAGTGAGAGACTGCAGTAAACAGTATACTTTGTGTGCATTTTCTAACCTCTCCAGGAGAAATTGACCATTATCCCTACTTGGAAAAGAACTTATGGCCTGGACCTACAGCAGCCCTATAGGCGTGAGTCGTACCGATTTGAAGGTAAGTAAGCTTCTTCGAAACTCACGAGAGCTGCATCTGATTGTATTGAATTGGTTTTAGATGTTTGAAAACCCGGGAATTCAGTGCCAGATACACGGACCTAGTCCGGTGGCAGTGACATTATGACATGTGAGACGAGATTGATTAGGATGATAGGGCATGAATAAGAACTTGGAAAGAGATCATCTGTATCCTGTGGTTCATGATTGACAACAGTGTTCCGTAATCTAGTAAAAGTAGCCAAAATGGTCAAGTAAACAAGTAAACAATGAAATTTTGATATGTCTCGTATTGGACCCCGAAGTCAAGTACTACAAGTTCAACATATCACAAATAACAAAAATCAGCAAATCTTCCAGCTCCGTAAGCACCGTGCACACCACACACCTTGTCAAGTGCACATGTCGATATTGATATAGACCGTTATGTACTTTGGCCAGACCATTGCCCATCTGCATAGTATTTCCCGCCGGAAGACGGCTCGCCTTCCCCGATCGAAGTGCCGGGCTTCAACGTGCTGAAACAGTTCCTGACTACTCCGTATTGTACCCGAGGTAGCCGCAGCGGGGATCATCGACCGGACAAAAAGACGAAAAAAAAGTAATGGAAAAAAAAGGACTGTGACAGGTCTATTCAAGTCCAAAAGTACCAGGAGCGTCCGGAACGGGGGCCCCGATAACCCATGCAGGTTGGATATGCGATCTGTTCGATTTTGTTACGAAGCTACGTCGAAGATCAAGGAACATGCATAAGCTGAAACAAATTGGCTTTTTTTTTTTCCCTATTGATTTGTATTCTGGTGGATGAGAACAATTTCCATCATGTTCCTCTAAATATAATGTGCACTAAGCTATTTGGGATAACTTTCCATCACTTGCTCTCAAGCACCGGCAACTTCGAATTCACTTTATCAGCAAGGGCAATCGGAGACCCGGCATTTGTAAATTGTAATATCCAGCATTGTCAGCTCTGACTCCAATTTTATCCTAATCCAATCCCGGAGCTCCACAGCCGACAGCAAGTCCAATCCGTACTCAATCAAAGGCTGTGCTGCCTCCGGCTCAGTCTCCAGCCTCAGAGGCTTGACGAACTGTCCCGAGATCACCTCTAGGCCTACCTTGCCGAGGGCAGCTATGTCAGCGCCCGAGTTATGCATCAAGCAGAATGCCAGAATTGCCTGGTCAACCGAGTCACTGCTGTCGCTCGCCTCTACTCCTGTGGCATCCGCATTGCCGTTGAACATGTAGCTGAGGCGCGGATCACTCCCAGCACCTGTGCCTTTGACAGGCAGCGGGAAACCAGCACCGGTAACTATCTCGATGCTAGTGGACGTGCTCGGCGGGGCAACAGGATCTTGTTGCAAAATGGAATATGTCAGGATCTTGCGCAGCGTGCCTTCATTGATGAGTGTCCAGATGCGCTTGTCGAGTCGTGCGTTCGATTCCGTGCCCTATTAAGCAGCATATCCTACGTCTTTGATCAGACAGAGATCAACGGTGTTTTAAGAGAGTCCTAGCTCGTGGCGGTATGCGGAGAAGGTATCTAGGAAGGTGTTCGCGGCTGGGTAGTTGGCTTGGCCTTTGTTGCCGACGATGCTCGAGGTACCGGAGAGCAGGGTCAAGAAAGACAACGGGGTGCTATGGAGCTCAGCGGCACGGTGCAAATTCAAGTTCCCTGGACCTTGGGTCGGACGGCCGTGTGATAAGTCGTCGAGGGTCATAATCTCGTAGGGCTTGTCCCGAAGCACCATGGCACCTTGAACAATGCCGACAATTCGAGGACTGTCCAATCGGAACAGTTCGCTGACAACCTCAAAATCGGCTACATCACCCTTTGCCTCGATCACTGCGCAGCCGTGAAAGTTGCAGTGGCGGATAGAGCGGAGGCCTCGTCCTTGATTCCACTTCTGCTACTGACGCGGATATGTTTTACTTCATGCCGTGCCAGATAAATGGCTAGTATCCCAAAGGCGCCTTTCAGACTCCCGACAATCAAATACCAAATTGCCGGCCGGATGGGTACTTGCACATCGTCATTGTCACCAAGAGAGACGACGATCTTGCCGATGTGCTGGCCACTTCGGATGTGTGATAGAGCCCCGACGACATTATCGAATGGGGAAGTGGTGATGGGAGTAATGGCTTTTAGATGTTCTAGTCGGTAGAAAGGTGGGCCCTACTCTCTTAAGCAAGGAATTCGGAAATGACCAGAAAGGGAGTTGTACATTTTCTTCCAACGTGCCTCCAAGTCGGGCATCGGAATGGTCTCCAGTTGATGTTCAAACCATGGAAACCGGTACTATATGATACATGTCTCCTGACTAGGAGCAGAAAGGCCAAAGAACTCGAAAATGTAGTCTATAAGCAGGGCTACTTCCCATCTGAATCGTATCGCCGCTTCAAACATCGGCGCTTTTTCCTGAAACCGATCACGCTCATAGAATCCACTGAGCGTGTCCCCGAAGCCCACCTCCTTACCACGATCCTATTCACCGGGACAGGCCTGTTGCAAAGTTTTGGCCATTTCTTTTAGTCTTTTGTGAGCTATATGATTGGTCATCTCCTCAATAACCTGGTTTCCCGATGCAATTTCGTTTGAAACTTGCTCCAAAAATGTGCGTTCATCAGGACAAAGAGCTCGTCAAGTAGCCTGCGAAGAAAGTTCAAACCCATTCAGTAATAAAGCATAGAGCAATGACGAACCTTGCGATAACTTTCTCAGTCATGTCCCGGGCGAATGACAAGCCCACAGCTCGGAAAGAGCATTTTTATCAAACGGCTCTATCGCCAAAGTGTTGCGGTCGATGATGTCCCTCTTATTAATCTCGATCATGGTGCCGCCGTCGGCGACAATCCTCTAGGACGCATCGAGGAGCTCTCCAACTAAGAAATTGACGATACAATCGATGCCCCTGCCACCCGTCTCGCGCAAAATCCCTTGCTCAAACTTGGGGTTACGAGAGAAAAACATTTGGCTTCGGGGAGTACCGTAGGTGCTCTTGAGGAGCTGGCGCTTTTCTTCCGTGACAACGGTGACATATATCTGCGAAAGGCGGGTTAGGGCATTCATTCCCATGGTGAAAAGTTTGAGAAAGATTATCTCTGCCTTTTGTACTGAGCCAACTGGATGCAGGGGGTTCCAACACCAACCAGTTGCCGAGTGGATGAGAACAGACTAGTACACTGTCAGCATACAATTTATCTCAGCTCTCGTGGCTGCTCTTCTTACCTGGCCCTCTTTCAAATTTGTCATGTGGTACATTGAGCAAAGGGAGCAGAGATATACCGAAGGCAGAGTTGCCGCTTCTTCAAAGGCCATGGATGGTGTCTGGGATTATGTAACAACGGTCGACATGTGTACGAACGCGATTCGGATGACTTCCACCCTTGAGCATGCAGACACGGCCATCAACCCCGAACTTTTCAGCTGCCAGCCCAAGTTGCTTGACAACTCCGCCGCATTGGAGCCCTACCATGTACTCATTCATTGTCTGGGACGATTTCCATTGGGAGGGCAACGTCTTTGAAATCGACGCCCACGGCCATTACTCCAACTTGAATATATCCCTCTTCGAGTGCAGGTGGATCGTTGGTGAGAAGTTCGGTTTTGGACTATGTCAGGCTTTGTAAGGTTCCGAGATGCTCGGCTCTCAGTTGGGGCAATGCTTCATTGCCATAGAGGCTTTTGACAACGGGATCAATGCCCTCGTCCTCGGCATGTCTGAAGTCATTAAGAGGAGCGTCTGGCATGATGCGCTGAGTTTAAAGTAGACCGTTTCGCTCCGCGAATTCCTTCTCAGTTCATTTACTGCTCTTGGTCAAGCCAAGGACTTGGTTGATGGCCCAGCTAATGGCGTCGCCTACACTGGACTCGACATCCAAAGTGGTTAGGTTAACGCTGCCATCCTCTTGGCGTGCAACATGGAAGAATCCATGGACCATTGCATTGTCTGGTCATAGTTTACGCTTATCTTGACCATCTCTCTACAATGATCCAATAATGGCATATAGCGCCTTAAAGAGGTATGGTCCCCAAAGCATTTATTGATCAGCACTTCAGTATACGAGACAACTCAGTCATCAGCATGCTAATCCTCCATAATAGCCTTCCCGAGTCATCGGAGAAGTTATTATTGGGTATGTACATAAGTAACTCCACCCGGCATCTAGCAGATTACGCTCTCGGGTCATCATTGTTTCATCTATTGGCATGGCGAACGTGCTTATCTATAACGTTTTTAGACTGCTGCATTTAGTGCTCACTTTATACATGCACGATTACCTGCATTCTCACATGATTGCTTATTGCCTCTTGTTGCGATATATATTTCCTTTTCACGCAATATTGTTATTCCTACAAAGGAAATTTGAGATGAGATAGGGATTTGGTGTTGCCTTGACTCTATATTTGCTGATCCTGCCTACCTGTCCTCAGGGCTGGCTTCTTCAATTGTTGCAACTACTCGAGTAAATTCTCAATATGAGTTCAATATCTCTCCCTCGTCAACAGGTTGTGCAATTCAAAACAATCGATGGCATCAACCTCGAAGGGTGGTTCTTTGAAGTTAATGGCCCTGCACCTGCTATCATTATGTCCCACGGTGTAAGCTTCCTATACTGTTTGCTCGGTGCCCGATGACTTACATATAACTCATCATTTTAGTTCAATTGTGTCAAAGAAATGAGCCTTGAAGACACAGCACGCACCTTCCAGTCTGTGGGCTACAATGTCCTAATCTACGATGCCCGTAGTGTTGGAGGCAGCGGTGGCTTACCTAGAAATCAAATCAATCCACACCAGATGGTCGAGGACGTATCTGACGTGATTACCTACGTAGGCAGTCTCCCCAGTGTTGACTCCCGCCGCATCATGCTTTGGGGCATGTCCTTTGGCGCCACAGTCAGCGGTATTGCAGCCAGCATAGACCGCCGCGCCGTCGCCGTCCTAATGGTCTGCCCAATTTTTAGCATGGTGCGACCAGACAGACGCAAAGCCGCCTTTGCACTGCTCATCAGAGACCGCCAGTCACAGCTGCACGGTAATGAGCCCTTTACCGTCCAGCCATTCAACAGCAAAGGCGAGAACCCAATTGGATTCGCAGGCAGTGGTGGCCCCGGTGGAAAGGAGGGATACAGACTGATGAAAGCCGCGGCGGACCGTGGTCATCCAAATTTCCGCGACAGAGTCACTTTGCAAAGTTATCATAAGATGGCTCTGTTTCGGCCAAAAGAGCTGTTAGAGGCCCTGGAGGATGTACCGGTCATGATGGTGATTCCGGAATTGGATAATATCAGCTCAGCTGAAGACCAAAAAGCGGCGTTCAAGGGAATTCCGGCCCCGAAAAGATTGCACTGGGCTAAAGGGGCCGGCCATATGTCGATTCTAACGGGCGAGGGATCGGGAGAAATAATGCAGGCGATGTTGAATTTCTTTGATGATGCGTTGAGTGGGAGAATAGAGTAGGTGAATACTTTGACGATGTGTTCGAAGGCATATGTACTCGGCCCTTCGCTTCCACCCCTAATCCGTTGACAATCTACAAGATCGTACTTGTATTAAATTTGAAGTACCCGGCCATAATTGGCACCGAAACAATCATACCAGCACGGCGTTAGAGCCGGGATTATTTCTAACGTGCGCATGTGACAGGCACGGATACGATTGGCGGAGGTTGCGGGCGACTAGCCTTATAAAAAAGATGAGGTACTGGGGTCTGTGGCAATGGCTTTGTCGGAGTCGAGAAAATATGACAGGTTCTTCTGCACCATTGAGGGCGAATTGAGCTATCCTCCTAATCTGCTGTTAATTCGGTAGACTTTATCAGGAAATCCGTATTTCTCGAAATGGCCATGGAAAGTGTCTTGCACGTCTGCAATATACGTGGTATTTATGTGTAGCGTATCAAGCCGTTGGAGGAAAGGGAACACATCCATTTCTGCCTCGGTGGCACCAGGCAAGGCTGCCATATTGAGCCGAAAAGCAGAATTGTCGAACCCGAAAGACGATGCGAGGCCGAAAATTTGGTTCCATGTGAGAAGCTGGCGCTGGAATGCTCCAATGACTTCCCAGTACAAATCAGAGTTGGTGTTGGCGAATGATAGGGCTGCGCCAGCAACGGGGCCACTGACATGGGCTTTGATTGTCAGCGACGGGTCTAGAGCATCATTTCCTCCCCCTCCACCACTCAAAGCCCAGTATAGATCGGAGTATTTGTCTTCTGAGGTTCGGGTTAGATACTGGATGGTGTTTGGGCCTGATTGGATAAGTGCTGTACTTATCCATCTCGGCTGACTGCATGCTCTGGTTGGTTATAGCAGAAAAAGAAACTTCAGAATGCATTGGAATATGAATTCAAACGTTCTACAGGTGTATTGTATTGCATAGAAATCATTAGAGATTTGGGTCCTGTTGGCTTTCATGATCTACTTTTGGATCTCCCTACTCCTATGGAGTGATACATACATAAGAAATGTATGCAAATCTGGCAAGAGCGATCATATCTATAGTGTGCTAATGAGTTATATCGAGGCAGAATAGTGGGCCGCTTATACAGCCTCTATACTTGTAGATATAGGACTTGCATAATCTGTATCAACTTGGTCTACAGTTGATGTCACAAAAATTATGATCACGATTCCATTGCGATGTTTTTTTCCAATCAGAAACAACCTTCAACATGTCTTTTAACATACATTATGAGATACTTATCAACATCCATGTACTACACACCTAATGCATCATTCCAACAGACTTGATTCTACTATATATATGGTATCTTTATTATTAAAGGTGCTTATTCACACGATTATTACGCGATCACAATGATACAGCTGCTATTGGCACAATGTCATGTTAATTGCTCCGACGGGTCATCAAAATGTCCGTGTCTAAACCACATCAGGCGTTAGTGCTGAAACTGTGTACCTTTTTGCCGTGGAACCCATAGAAAAGGTACAACATACAGCGGCGCGCCACACTCCCGATTGAGCTGGTTGATCGGCCTTGGCACGGGTAATCAAGCTCTCTGGTAATCAACGGCTCTGTCGATCAACTTCACGATCGGAGTCGGGAGAATGAAGTACGATATCATTCCAATTTCCAGGTGTATTCGTTAGAGATTGAAGAAAGATGAACATATAAATACACTGATTCCAGTCCGAGTCCTTCTATATAAACCGTACTCTTGTGATAGAGGTGCACCCCAAGAATTAAAATGGCCCGCACTGTCCTGATCACGGGCTGTTCTGACGGCGGCCTCGGCGCCTCCCTCGCCCTCGCCTTCCACGCAGCCGGTCTAAAGGTCTACGCCACGGCTCGCAACCCCTCCAAGCTAGGCCAGGTTGCATCCGCCGGCATCGAGACTCTCACGCTGGATGTGCTATCTAGTGAGTCGATCAAGCACGCCGTGACCAAGCTTCCCAATCTCGACATTTTGGTCAACAATGCCGGCGCCGAGTATCTGATGCCGGTAACTGACGTGGACATCGCCGACGCTAAACGCTTATTCGATTTGAACGTCTGGAGTTACATCGAGGTAACGCAGGCGTTCTTGCCTCTGCTGTTGAAAAGTCCCTATGGCGGGTTGATCGTCAACCATTCATCTGTGAGCTCTGTTGCCGTACTGCCATTCCAGGGAGTGTACACGGCATCCAAGGCCGCTATTGCCAAGTTGTCTGACACTCTGCGACTCGAGCTGAGTGTTTTGGGGATCGATGTTGTCGACTTGAAGACTGGTGTGGTGCGTTCCAATCTGATCAAGAATCAAAAGGAGGCAAAGCCGCCTAAACTTCCGGAGAACTCGATTTATTATCCGGCACGCGAGGTAGTAGAGAAGGCGTTGAGCCAGGATGCTTTTGCTGAGGGCGGGATGCCGACTCTGCAGTGGGCCACGGCTGTGGTGGGTGATTTGTTGAAGAAGAAGCCACCCCCAGTAATCTGGAGGGGAGAGCAGGCTTGGGTTGCAAGGTTGATTGGTGTTCTGCCATTTGGAACATTTGATTCGATGCTCAAGAAGTTGACAGGGTTGGATGTCGTGGAGAAGATTATGAAGGTTGGAGCCGGAGCATGAGGATTGACAGAGGGATTTGTTGGTCCATTTTGAACTGGGCTTGTTGATGATAGCTGGCTTGACTATAGATATCATATACAAACCATGCTATAATGCACTTCAATTCAGCGCAGAACCCGTAAGCAATGAGTTCTAACAAAGAAGAGACATCCAAGCCATGGTGCCACTGACTCAAACCTGTACCCAAGTATATATCTCACCCTATGGGACTGGAAGCGTCTTCCTAGTCCTGTAACGTACACTGGCCCCACGCTGCACGAGGGCCTGCACGCCCGCCTCAAACCCAGTATCGACCGCAATATGCAGCGGCGTGCGTCCGCCACTATCATAAGCATCGATGAGCCCCCGGTCGCCCACGCAATGATCCAGTAGAATCTTCAATATGGCCTCACGGCGATGATTAACTGCGAAATGCAGCGCCGAGCGATCCTGGCAGTCAACCTGGTCTATGCGTGCCCCATGCGTGAGAAGCAACGTGACGACATCTTCGTAGCCGCCGATCGTCGCGTGGATTAAGGGCGTCATTCCATTGCCGTCTATCTCATTGCAGTCAATATCCTGCTCGAGCAGCATGCGCATGATCCGATAGTGACCCTTCTGTGCGGCTATGTGAAGTGCAGATAGCCAGCCCGAGTCTGCGTTGTGGGGTTCTGCTGTCCCATGTGGGAGTGCGCTGGCGCCCCTAGCACTGGCAGGTGTTGAGTGATTTGTTAGCGGTTTCGGTAGGAAGTTTGTGTTGAAGATGCCTGGTGTTGTTTTGTAAGTGCTTCTGCTGCCGACTGTGGTTGATAGGGAACCTGGATGATTGGGAATGGAGTCTCGATCGCTGCCAAAGAGGGTATACTCAGCGGGATCGGTATTAGATATTCCCGGTGACGGGCCTGCAAGGAGACTTGACAGGGTAGGGCCCATCAAGTCGTCCATATTTGTAAAGTTTTGGATACCAATCAGTCCATTGGCGCCGCCTTGTAGGCAGTTGACGCCAAAGCCGGGAGGGGATTTGACAGGGCTCTGGTGTGTCGACCTGGGTCCCGAGAAATCGAAAAGATCAGATGGATCGTTGGTCGCCGATAAAGGTGGCTCAAGGGTTTGCGTCTGCTGCGGTGGTCGATCTGCGTTGGCCTTCTGCTGGCTTTGACGTTCTGGGGAAGTCAGCCCACTTCCCATGCTAGAGATGAACTAAATACCTACGGCGGAACCTGCGTTGAGCCAAGCGATTCTGCGCACGACGATGCTCGAGAGTACTCTTCTTTTTTTGCACCTCCATCGTCTAGATTTTAGAATTCAATAGGTTTTCTAAAAAAAAAAAGCTCGGTCGGAAATGGGTACAAGGCGTCTTTTGAAGGGAACCAAGGCCGTACGTTTCAAGATGTTGCAGGCCTAGTGCTTACATATAAAGAATCATCTACGGACAGTTCAGAGATCAAAATAATCATGTGTTCCGTGGGGGCCAATATAAATTATATTCATATCAAGGTATATTTTTCATACTATCTATTGTCATGTGGGCAATGTATACCCTGGCGTTTCAATAGATTTGGGTTAAATCAGAGGTAGTGCTGTCTTATATCTAAACTACACATATCATTTCCATCCCCCAATCGCACCATATCTTCATTTCATGGTGTTAGGGTGATACTACATAATCAAAAGAAATCACCCTAATCATACACCTTTCCATTCTTTTACTTCATTCTACCACCATCGATCCCATTACTTCAAAAATAAGTGGAAGTCGTAGGCTGTTGGCTGAACTGTCTAAGTGCGCGCGCATACGCCGTCAAATCCGGTCAAACCTAGATAGGAGTGGCGAAAGATGTTCGTAGCACCTCTAACCCTTTTTTTCAATACTTGATAGCTACTTATTCCTATGAATTCCAGGAAAGAATATGCATAGGCGCATGTTCTTCCACTGGGCCAAACCACCATTCTATCAGATCTGTTGCTCTAATTTGCCGGAGACCAATATGTATAGTAGTGCACATGATTATCCACGACGGTCATAACCCCTTAATAAGCTAGGAAGCCCTTCTTACCAATACACCCACTCCTGTCTTAGAATCGACCGTATAGTATTCTTCAAAAGCTCAGTATGTTAAAATGCAAGTTAAAGAACGGATCTTGCTTATATAGCTAGGCGTGGAATAACAAAGGAAATTTATGTAGAAATAGGAGTGAATTATACAATCAGGAGCCTATTTAATGATATACGAATATCGGGAAATATCTAGTGGAATTGCGGTAAAAGCTATCAAAGATAAGTATATAATGTAGGTGGATGAAAACCTTTGAAACCCTCTGCACTATATTGTTTTATAGGTCTTGTCATATGCTCCCGCTGAGACATTGATATTGAATTGATAGGCACTTAGGTGTGAAGTGAGGCATCCGAGAGCTTTTTCCCTGAATTGACAGTACCATGGGCGAAACCACCTACATCTACATTGAAGTATGAAAAGGCAATCAGTTAATAGAAGGTTGATTATTTCATTACTCATACAAAGCCTGTTAAACGATCATCGACCATTTGCTCTTCAAGATTTGACAACTGAAAACAGGGAACAATTCAGCCAGAAAAAGCAAACGACCTCAAAGCTCAACTGGGCCATAGATGGGATCAAAAGGACACCGATGTTGAAAGCATGGACAATAAGAGCTGGCTGAGTTCAGTAGAAGAATCTGTTTACTGAAACTCAGACTCTGTAAATCAGATCCTGTTTACTGGCGGCGCGAATGCATGACAGGTATGGAATTAGCGGTCTTCACTTTGGGCTGCGGAATGGTCACAGGATTTGGCATCGAAAGCAGTCGACCGACAGCTTGCTCGGAAGCTGGGTCACTGGAGTGGGCTTGGCTTGCCACATTCACAGACGAGCGGTTCTCAGTGAGAGTATCCGTGGTTGCTTGCTGTACGGAGACAGTACGAATCTGAGACCCTGGCATGTCACGCAACGTTGTTTGCTCATACACCGAGGGAGCAGGGCCAATCACGCGGGGTTTGTATGGCGCAGGGCCAATCGTGCGAACGGTTGGTTGGACTATCTCACCCTGCTGGCTGGGAATGTTCGGATGATTGACATCCAAAGCCCGCGTCATGATCTGAGACCGCATCTCATTGGGTTCCGTAGCCTTTGAGGTCAAGATGTTAGGGCCAACAGGTCCTGCAAAGATAGAATCACTAAGAGTCATCGCCCTTTTTACCGTTTCCTTTGAGCGCGCCCCCAGAACAGAATTGAGCTGAACGGACGCTTCGGATGTTGTGGCCCTCTTGGGAGGCTCCAGGGGACGAATAGCTGGGTTAGGGCTGGCACGCTGGGGCTGAAGCGGCGCGACCAGTTTGTCCGAAACCTGGAGGGATTCGAACTGGGAGATTATATCTGAATTTTCACTTCTGGTCGGTGAGAGGTCGGGCACACGTACCTTGTGCGCGCGTTTATTAGCAGAAGGAGGTGAGCTCGAACTGGAGGAAGGAGGAGGCGGCGATCGGTGCCCCTCAAAGGGCGTAAGGTCGCGCCTGGCAGCTGAAGAAGCTTCAGCAGCCTTAGTCCGCTGGTGCAGGGCCGAAAGAGATTCTATAAGTGCAACCAGATTATCCAGCTGACTGCCAACGTCTGGGGCTGCAGGTGATGCAGATGTGGTAGGCATCAACTCGAGCAATTTAGCTTCAAGTATGCGTTCGATATCCCGAGTAGTCGCCAAATCATGGGGTGAACGGATATATTCGCGCATGTCGCGAAGTTCTGCAATAATCTGCCGATTAGAGACAACAAAACTGTCGTCTTGATTCTGATCATTGCGGCGAGAGTGGACTGCTGGGACATCATTGTTTGGTGTTTTGGGGGAAATGACTTCATCAATGCTCTTGATTGGCACTGAGTCGTCGGCTTTCGCCACAAACTGGAGGCCTGCCAGTTCTGCAGTACCTGGGCTCTGTATGGCAACTGTTTTCAAAGGACGGTGAGCTTTTGTTGCTGCATCCATAGGGTAGTCATCATCGCCGAGGAGGTCTTGGGACTGAATTTTCTGTTTCGTTTTTAGTCTCTGGCTATTAGTAACAACATTCTGTTTGCTGTCTTTGGTTTGAGTTGCCTTCACTGCCGGTGTCTTCGTGAGCTCTGCGAGCGGAGTGGGGCGTTCAGACGAGACTATCTCCTTGCTTGAAGGAGCCACGCCCTTCTTTCGTGGTTGTTCGCCAGGCAAGACCTTCCATCGAATCTCATCTGCAGCGACTGCGACAACCAGAGGAGATTGCCGATGTGACTGGGAAGATTTGGATGTATGAGTCTGGGTTTTTCTAGATTTGAAAGACGCAGTCTTGTCAATAGGAACAACACGAGGTGATGGCGAAGGTGTTTCCACTAGGTAGGGTCCAATATGTGGCTTAGAAATCTCGGTTACAGTGGCCTGGGGTTTTGCGGGCCGTAATGACGTGGCCTTCTTGATAGGAACGACATGAGATGGCGGCTTTGATGGTGCTGCTCGTGAGAGTGCAGGGCTCAAAGGTGGGGAAACGGTGGCCGCTCTTTTCTTCGGTGTACCACCTGGAGGCAGCTTGACCTTTGGCTCTTTGGGCGACACTGGTTCCTGCGCAGTTGTAGTCGTCTGCATTGGTGCAGAGATATCTGTACTAAGGGGGGTTTTTGTACATTTCGGTTGCTCGGCGGGACTGAACCAAGGACATGAAGTCTCCAGGCTCAGAGATTCTAGTACCGAAGTCGACGCTAATCAGGGAGTTAACATACAAACATTAAATAAAGTCTCACCACTTACGCTGGAGCCGGTCGCTGGACTCTGATAGGGGCGGAAGCGACTAAAAAAGTGGTCAGCTGCATTCTCTTTCTGTACCTGCCATCAAAAACCATACTGTGAACCTGCTCTGAGACGTTTCCCCTCCCCTTGCCTTTGCTTCGTCCACGTCCCCTTCCTCGGTCACGAGCATCGCTGCCGTCGTTATTGCAGTTCAACGCAGGATCTAAATGAATGCTGGCCGACATCGTGGCTGAGCGACCGCGCGGTCCCGGGCGTCCTGGACGGCGGACAGTTGTATGGATAGAGCTTCTGCGATTTCTCTTCTGTTAGTTAAAATTCATTGAAAAGCAGATTATATCGACTTCTTACCTCGTAGGGACAGGAGGAAGAGCAGCAGGTCCATTGGGGGGAGTGGTAATAAAGTCACCTCGTCCTCTCTTTCCCATGACACCACCGCCACGACCTGCAGATGGAAGAGGATAGGGATGATTGGCATAAGTGCGCGGCTGACTTCCATTGGGATGCAACGTGGCATGCAAGTTAGCTCGGTGAGACTGGCCACAATCTATGTCATCGAGTTCCTCCATCCCGCTGGTATCCCCAATCTCAGCATGCAGATCTGCGTGAAAGATTAGCAAAAAGTCAGAGAGGCCCAGAGGCGTGTCTCGTACAGCACTTACTTGCCCATTTGCTCAATTGAGCTTCATCTCTTTGATCGAGATATCGCTTGGATTCGATATTGACAATTTGCGTGCGAGTCTCCTTCTTCAGATCTGCAGTGGAAATCATTTCACGCCGAGCGGTTCCTAGGTCCGCCTGTCGATGCCATCAGTTGGAAACATCAAATAAGCGAGAGACTAGATATCACCATTTGAAGAATTCGCATTTTGCGCAGCTGCTCGGCAGATTCAGCCATCTTGCTGGTGCACTTCCCGTGGCATGTAAAGCTTCAATAATGGTAGAATGAGCAGTAGAGTGTAGAAAAAGTTGCACAAACGGCGAGAGAATAATAAATGGGAGAGGGAAAGGGGCGTGGAGATGGTGTATCGCAGAGAGATATTATTGGGAAGTCGAAGTGACCTCAGTTGCCCATCAAATAAATGACAGAAGGGATACAAGACTTGAGACCCCCAAAGGTTCGCAACGATTAGACGACAATTGAGGGATGCTCCGAGAAGGTGGGACTCTGCAAAGCGGATGAGACACCAAGCAGAGCTGTGCGAAGCACCCAAATCAAAAGTGTGAGAACAAGCGGTTCCAACGGAGAGAAAAAAAAAAGGAAAGGAAAGAGATGAAGAGTGGTAGAAGAAAGAGAGAATTTGGGAAGAAGGTAATTAAAGGAAATATCAGGGCCTGTTGGGATCAAAGACGCGACGCGTCTGTGGATGCGCAAACAATTGAAGTGCTGAGTCTGGTACCAGCTAGGGTATCTTCAGATGTCCTTACAGAGGTCCTGAGGTCTTTTGGGGGGTCTCGACTTCTCAGTCGTACATGAAGGATTTGTGGCCTAGTACATACTGACATATCCACGTGAGAGCCGTTGCAAGGCATGCGAAGACTTCCACGTGATGGCGGAGCCCTATAGATATAATTATAGAGCCATTGCCAATCACCGTTTGGTTTGAGGATGCAAAGAGGAAGCGGAGGTGTAAAGGATGATAATCAAGACCAATGGCTTGCGAAGCCGCAATCGCAAGGCGCACGTGCCTAGTCATTGGCACGAGGATTGTGTACACGTGCTTCGTGATGTATATACTGTCTACCTAGATAGTAGTTACCGAAGTACCTGCTACCCATACTGAGACATCGCAATTCACTCCTACATGGAAGAACGGCACATGGCGATTATCGAATGGAAGTATTGTAGCATATGATACACAAGAACTATTCGCTCACAGTGGTTACAAATGTACATAGAAACACGGTCCCAAAGAAACTCCTCGGGCACACTGAGTGTAGACATAAGCATGGCCGCCATCTGTGGAAAGTCCTGGGACACTTCGTCTAAGGTGCACTGCAACTATGAGCCTCGCCATCATCTGCAAACACAAAGTTCAATATTAGTATATGTGATGAGGGTACGACCAATTGACCATTCGATTCGGTCCAATTTCAAACTTACTTCGAATGATTTTGACAACCGCCTGCACTATACTGACACCCATCACAACCATCCCAAAACAGATGCATACATACGCCGGGATCTTCTCTCGCCGTGTAGCGCTGCTAAGCTTGATGTAACAGAGTGGAGGAAATATGTAGGCTAGAGCAGCAGCACTGGTCGCACCAATAAGCTCAAACACACTTCCCAGATCACATGTTATCAAGGAAAGCACCATTGCAGTCACCACCAGGGCTGTTGTGAAGATAACGTGCCGAACGGGGTTGTGTGGTTCGTCAGGGAAGTAGTAGGTAACCATAACGGAACGGCAGACGAACGCCTCCAGTGGTAGTGTGGTCAACATGTTCAGGCCAAAACAACTAGTCAAAGTTAGTCAAGAAACTCCATATCAAGGTTGATTGGAAGGTTGTACAATCGTGCGATGTTGACGACGATATTGTCAGATGGAAAGTTGTTCAGGACGTTTCCCTGGGTTTTAGACCCGAAGGACAAAAACCCTGCGATACCCATTGCTAGGCACATTAACAGAGAAATTCCTGTCGAATAATGTGTGACTCGGGTGAAACGGTCGAGTGTTGGCCTTTTTAATGAGCCGTAGATCAGAAGGCTGTTGTGGTCTGTGGAGATTAGCAATTGTGATTGATACCAATAGGTACAAAGAAACATACGACAAACAAAAGCTGAAACTTGTTAGCAGACCTTTCAATTGCTGACAGGGCCGACTAAAACCTACCAAAAGAGATAACCCCGACAGCCTGAATAAAGCCAGTGTTGAATATGAGGTGACTTTTGATCTCTCCCCGCGATTCAGGCGGGACCCGGAAGCCCTGAGTTATGACTGTGACAACAATGACTATCATGCTGACCAATGCCAAGGCGGATGCTTTCGCCAGCTACCTGACTGTTAGTTCCTGACCAGTGGTAAGGAAAGAAAGATCTGACCTTGGCAATGTCTCTATACAGAGACAATGGATATGAAACCGCTAAAACAAAGATAACAATAACGGCCCGGCGATCTGTGAGGAGCCATAGGAAGGACATATCCCTGAGAGATGGAAACAAAGCGCCTAGAACATGGGGAATGGTATCGCCAACAATAATACAGAATGCGACCATCCCACCGAATGCAAATGCCCACTGCGCAATGGAGATCGCGATGAGACCACCTTTCCCGAAACAATGCTGCATAGTTGCCTGAAATGAGTCCGCGCCACTGAGTTTGGAGTTGATCACAATCAATCGAATGGTCCAATCTACTGTGATGGTCAAAGCAGTCAGCAGCAAAATCCCAAGTGCCATGCCTGCCTGACGAAGGGCATAAGGTTGCCCAATAATTCCAGCCCCAATAATGCTATTGGCCATGTTCATAAACGCCATTTTCATCCCACTCCGCGGCCGTGCATTTTCGAGATGATCTTCGGGGAAGAAATCGTCCGATGTCGCAAGTGTCACACTAGGTGCTTCAATATTTGTGAGAAGGGGAATTGATTGTCCACTGCGGTGCACTCCTGGGCCCTCATTGCCAAGTTCATAGTCCTCATCCTCCAGCCATAGTGTGTCGTCTGGGCTGTTGTCTGGGCTGAGAGCACGCTCAATCGAAATGCGATTGGAGTCTTCGGACTCTTCCTCTATGTCAAATCGAACTCGATTCATGGTACGGGGTGTGCGGCGCTGTCCATCAGCCGCAGGCTGAGAGATTGAGGAGTGGCGATTGCCATTTGTCGCGTTACGTGAGGGGATTGGCGATCGGAGAGGTTCCGGGTGGAAGGCTAGTTCATGTTCCTCACTCGAGGCAGACAACAATGCTTGAGCTTCATGTTCATCCTGGCCATTATGGGCACACAGGTGATCCTCTGACGGCTCATCCCCTGGCATCGCTGACCGTAGATAGTTGGAAGAAGTGTAACGGTTACTTTCAGGCCACCTGGATGGAGCCACACGTGATAGCTTATCGATAAGAGCTTCTTTATATCGATAAGTGATAATATTCAAAATTGGAACGGTTTGCCACGTGCATGTAACTGGAGTGCCCACTCCACTGCATATCCCAGTTATACATAGAACAGTCACAACACAGTAAAGGGAATAGAGTAAAAGAAAAGGACAGCCAACAAGAGACGGCTGACTATTTCTGTATGTACAAGCCCACAGAGTTGATCAAGTCCACTTTCCGGACTTAAAGTTGTGTCACTTGATTGCATATCCTTTTCGGGTATTACTTTAAGCAAACTCTGTAAAATTACCTTGCAGCATCGTATATGCCTTACGTTTTGACAGAAGAGGGGGGGGGCACAAAACCAAAGCATTCAAGAGTGGACCATCGGTATATATATTTTCAAACGCAATTGATGAAACTTTCCAGCGGGTTTATAGAAGAAAAAAGTCAGGGAACATCTCGTTCGTTTAGCAAAGCCTACTCGTCCAACATGCCCCGATTATGCTATGAATAGTGAAATCCAGCCTAATAGTTCTTTCAATCTGAGAGCCTGTCATTCTTTCACACTGTGCTGTGCCTTTGCCAGCGATGAAAAACATGCTGATGTCATAAAGAACCCTTTGCATGTCTGGTCAGGTACCTGATATTACGCTATCGCAAATGAAAAACCTCGAATTGTAACCCTAACCCCATATTTCGAAGAATCATTATGTACTCTGTGTCTTTCTAGTTATGCAATATGACTTCATGTATTTGTACTGCAGAATATCAAAAAGGAGTAAGCGATTGGTTGGCGGGCTGTACCTCTTTGATTAAGATTGCCAGGTAGAATTCGATATCGGCCGTACACAACACACCTCCAGCTGCAATAGCGTCTGATAGATCCCAGCGGGTATAGCGGCCCTTTTGGTCTGGGTATCTTGATTGTCGACAGCTTGAACAACATAAAAGAAATCATAAATATGGATTCAGATGATTGTTAGGTGTTAATGTTTCCGCCTCCTGGTTGAACCTTCCCAATACAAAATCTTAATTTCTCTTATATCACATGAGATTGGACTTCGAAAGACCCATATACCTGGATCTTCATATCGGAGAACATCTTTCAACCAATGAAACTAATGACACGCTCTGCTTTGAGAAGTAAGGACCTGAAACTGCGCTACAAAATCTCACAATATTTGTTCCTTCTTGTCAACTGTTGAGTCTCAGTCGAGATAGGGGAGTCTGAATATATGCCCGTAATCCGATCCATCCGGTACATATATATGAAAAGGATCCTCGAGAGAGTTGGGTTGCATGTTAAGATGATCTAAACTGACCAGCACTCGCTGGAACTGATCACTTATGAGAAAAAATGAAAAGAATCCATGCCACTGATCGGCTCTCAAGTACTACATATCATTAACAGCGAGAACGAGACCAGTGCGATGGCGCAGATCTGCCAATCTCTTGTGGCGGCGTCTTAGGGAAGATGGAAGCCAATGGATCACGTATGCTAGTATGAGATGTGTTACTTTGAAGCCGCGATCAAAGCTCGGCAACAATAGCCATTTTTATCAAGATGATCAAAAGCACAACCCTTTGCACTTCAGCTATATCACAAATATAAAGCCCAAAAATATATCGACAGTACAGTCGAACCGATCTTGATAATTCGGGTATAAATATTCTCAGGTTAAGGTACTCGAACGTCATGTGCACTGTCCATGTACTGTAAGGTCATAACCACTCGTGGACGCCCGGTTCACTCCTTTCCGGCTCCAACACCACACATCCCCGATTCTCTCGCTTAGACTACAACCGCAGGACTCAGAAGTAATACATAATGCCTTAGTGCTAAGTCATTTTCAATTTTCACAATGGCACAAAGGCTCAACTTAGGTGAATCCACTCTACAAATCAGAGATTCAAAGCTACAGCTTCGTTTGACCGCATCGGCTCATTTCAGCCAACCACCAAGCCATAGAACTCCCCAAATACCGATTGAACTTCTACACTTGTCAAATATTCGCAGCGTGTGGATAACGGAAGCACCAGAGCTGGAGTTGCGCTTCTCCATTGGAGGAGATTGGGATCGAAATGAAGCAGGAGCATTCGTATCAAAACTGAGAGGCAACCTCTGTGACATGGAGGTGTGTTCGAGAAAGTATTTCCCGAATTGGAAACTAACTATCTCTTGTTCCAGATCTGGTCGGACGTGGGATTCTCAGTTGAGCCGAAGACGAGTGCACGTGAATGTTGCGTCGACCCTTCTGGCTTTCACTGCCTCGAATTTGGTCTGCGCAGAGAGTGTAAGATGCGGAACCACACAACGGGTCGGACTTTACCCAGCTCGATGGCCAATCCCCCAGATGCGTGTCCTCCCACTGGTGTACCAATAGCAACATTGGCTTCAATTCACATTCGGCTGGAGTATATTCTCCAACCCAAGATTGTATCGTCAGTCCGGGAATACTCCAAATTGGACATTGGTTGTCTTAGACGAGAATCATCCGCTTCACAGGCCCCCCGGCTTCTGGGGGCAATGCCAGGTGTCTCAATTCCACAACATGAGTGTCCTTCGGAAACTCCAGGATCACAAAATCGCATGTTTGGAGATAGATCATATTCATCCCACGAGGAGCTCCACCGGTTGTTCGGCGTGGGAATTGAACATCTGGTCACTTCCAACTTGGTCAAAGATACTACAATTCGTGTCTCATCACGACAGATCATGATCAAAAGCCTCGTAGATTTCTCTCCCGCAGTGTTCGATCCTAGATATCGGGATGTGAGTTTTCCGTCTCAATTTGCAAATCAAGTGCTAATTCCAGTCAGGCGATGAACCAGCGAGGAGTGACAATCCCAATCATTACGAAAGCCATATCGTCTATGCTGGCAGGGAAAAATGATCCATCCATCAAAGCTAAATTATCACATTTGTTAGAGCGCTCTCGCTCTCGCCACATCGATGACACGATAATACAACCTGAAGCTCTAAGTTGCAAAGCCGCGGTACTCTCATCACTTTGGCGTATCGCCCAGACAACCATGCCCAGGATAAAGCCAATCAAAAGGGGAGCTTCGATGGTCTCCACAGAGCGTCTATCAAAGGGACCGGTTGTGCCAGACGAGGCCGTGCGTCACATTTCTAAGGATCAACTACAGCGTGAGAGCAGAAAATCGGGACTTCTATGTTCTACTCAAACATTGATTTGCGACGAAAACGAGGAAAGTGACGTATGCCTACTGAATAGCGAGTCCGATGAGCAGCTTTTGGACAATCTTAGCGACACAGGCTTCTCAGACATCGGAGAATCAACTCAAACATCGATTCATACATCATTCTCAACAATTGGGTCTTCACAGACTTCATATGACGATCATGATAGTATGCTTCTTTCGGATCATGACGAATTGGTAGATGATCTGGGAAACCATATGATAGATCATGATCCTCTGGAAAGTATGGAGGCATACGATGTGGATATCATAATGGCTCATGACCTTTAGATCTTTCATATGACACACTTCCTGTGATATATAATAAGACCTAAATAATGATTACGGCTCCTTTTTTACAAACGTGGAGGAGAGAAGAAATATTAAAAATTTCCGAGAAACTGAGGCTGCTTATATGGCTACCTGCAACCTCGAAATCGAGACACCAAGACAAACAACTTCGCAGCTGTGCATCAATCCCGAAACGAAGAGCTACTTTTCTATGTAATTCGGACGGTCCAAGGCTCCCGTTGCTGTGAAGAAACATTGTCGATGAGAGAGACCGCGAGCTGTCACTTCTTGTGAGCAATGATGTCTTAAACAAAACGACATGAAGTTATATTCACGTCATTTGTACCTTCACTTTACAGAAATGAAAATGATTGGTATTGAGAGACAGTCATAACCCAGACAACGGGATTGGCGAAAGCGAGGCTTTCAATTCGACTGTAAGAGATATAGCTATCTTGTGATCGCATGTCATGTAGCATCTATGCATTGTTCCTTTGATACACCTGCGATGGTGTAGAATATCAAGGTGACACCTCGCCCAATCCAAACATTCTGATAGAGTTGTTCCAAGCACTAGAAAGAATGAGTCAGTATGGAGCCGAGCATCGGGATAAATCAACATCTTACGCTGCACAAACTTCCTCCACGGTGATACCCTTGACGCTAGCAATGACATGAGCAACACGAGCGATGGCGATAGGCTCATTCCGGCCCTTCACCATACACCCCTTCTGCCATTTCTCCTTCTTCATAGCCTTCGGCAGATCCGGTGCACCGCTTAGGTGCTTTGCAGATGCATGAGAGGGGCGGATTTCACACTACGAGATGGTTAATCACGATATATCCGACCAAAAGTCAGGGCAGTACATACCCATGGTCCATCAGTTTCGATTTGGAGCCGGTCTAGTGGGATGGCTTTGACAACTTCCAGATTCTCTTCGGTCTTCATACTGCACCCGTTGACACCGACGTCAAGACCCAGCGCAATCATCCGGTTCATTTCATCCATTGTCCCTGTGAAGCTGTGCACAAGTCCCCGCTTGGGAAGCTTGGGAAGCCTGGGGGCAAGGAGTCTCTCAAAGTCTTCGCTTGCAGCCCTGGAGTGGAGGAACAAAGGGAGCTGAATCTCGACAGCCAGGTCTAGTTGGGCCTCAAAATACTTGAGCTGTGGCTCCTTGGGGCTCAGGAATAGTCGATCATAGTCAAGGCCGATTTCACCAAATGCGACGGCGTGGCCGGATTGGGTTGATTCAATTGCTAGAGCGCGGAGCTCCTCCAACATTTGCGACGGACCGCCTGGGTGCTCGTCGAAGAGCTTTGCTTGGCATGGATGCACACCAACGGTTGCGTAACAAAAGCCCGCTGCGAAACTCGTCTGTCAATACAGAGGGGGAAGGTCCTGGAAAGGTAGAAACATACGGTATTTGCTCGCGATATGGACAGCGTGCTTCGATTCTACAAGGTCTGAGCCAGTTACCATGAATTTTGAGCAGCCTACATCCCGAGCACGCTGAATAACGTCATCCAGATCGTCTTCATGAGCCTGCTTTCCGTGATATTCACCGCGGAAAACGGGGTCACTCAAGTTGATACCAATCTATCATTTCGCAGTTAGCTATGAGATGGATAATCCTTCAAGGCAAGGCTCTTGAGGAAATGCGACGTACATCAACATATCTGAGAGGTCTAGATTCAGCCATATTCGATGAAGTCTGCTGTCTTCCTGTTGTGGAGATTCTCCTGAGATTTCCAGCAGATCTGAAATTTATGAAAGACACACCCGTCAAGCTGTGACTTGTGAAAAGACCTACGAAATATGTCAGATCGATTTTTCCAAGATCACCTAGACTGGTCATGGCTGAACTAGTTGATAGGCTTGTATTTTGGACATGAAACAAACCTAAGTAGACAGGTCTATCTATCCCTGTCGACCTCACAGTCGAGATGATATTGCGCCTGAAAACTTTCAAAGCACAGCCACTAGCAGGCTTAATTTGCATCAGATGACTAGAGTAAAGATCCTCGTTATTGTGTTGATGAAATGTCTGTCAAGCACAGATGTGTGTTCACTCACGGTCGGAAGATGCTCAGCCACACTAGGGCTGAGGCTTTCACTGTGGCTGATGCTAAACATATGCCTGAATTCACAGGCGACTATTCCTAGGCCGCTCGGGGACAAATCCGTGGGCCAAGTCGGTACTTTGCCGATTTAGGCCACTTCATAATTTAAATGTCTTCAAACACAAAGCATGTTGTGTGAGCTCAGACGAAAAGTCAACTTCTTGTGCTACCTTGAATTCTCATTGGTCTTTTGACATCTTTGTACTATAAACATGTACCGAGCTGATTGTGTAGGATTACATCTCAACCGACTGTAGTGGTAATCCAGAACACCTTGGTCCTGAAGACATCAACCACAAGAAAGCCAAACATAAAGGGTCAATATAACATACAGTACTTCGTACTTCATAACGGAAGCTGGATGGCCAAGCATGAAGCTCGGGGAACTTTGACCCGTAAAGTCTGGGGTAAGTTCGGGGACATTGCCGAGCACCATCCCCGCCCCCAACATTTGCTGAGTATTTAGCTCGCTGTGGGTGGCTGCTTCTATTTAGGCTCCATTTCGTCAATTCTTCTTCATATTCTCTCAATCTCTTCCCATTTAATCAAAGACCTCGCGTGCTTGTACAATTTGCCTGCAATGGCAGATCGGAAATTGCTGTCTGCTCGGCAGATTTCAGAGCACAAGACGCCCGAAGACTGCTGGGTTGTGGTCGACAAGCAGGTGTGGGATGTGACCGATTTTTTGGAAGAGCATCCTGGCGGATCTGCGAGTATGTACACCAACAAATGCATCATCCCATGACACTGTCTCATCCGTCTCGCCAACAGTTATCCTGAAGCATGCAGGTAGAGATGCAACAAGAGCCTATTCCGAAGTTCATGCACCCAGCGTAATGAAAAACAACCTCGACCCGAGCAAGCATAAGGGTGTCCTTGATGAGTCTACAATTGACGCGGAGTGGGCCAAACCACCTCCAGAGGAAAGTCCAAAGGTGATTCTAGAAAATGAGAAAGCACCGTTGCACACCCTGATCAACTCGCATGACTTCGAAGTCGTGGCATCGAAGACCGCCAACAAGAAGACCTGGGCCTTTTATTCCAGTGCAGCTACAGATCTAATCACACGGAATGCCAATAAATCATGCTTTGACCGCATATGGTTCCGGCCGCGGGTCTTGAGAAATGTCCGCTCGGTAGATGCCCGAACAAACATTCTCGGAGGGAGTTACAAGCTCCCACTATTCGTGAGCCCGGCAGCAATGGCTAAGCTGATCCACCCGGATGGGGAGCTCGCTATTGCCAGAGCCTGTGAAAACAAAGGAATTATGCAAGGAGTGAGCTTATATGACGTGTTGCCACTGTCAGTCACAATGCTTATGATCTGGGTAGATTTCAAATAATTCATCCTACACGATGGAGGAGCTGCGTACGGCAGCACCCTCAGCCGACTTCTTCTTCCAGTTGTACGTCAACAGAGACCGAGGAAAGTCCGCCGACCTGCTGCGCCAGTGTTCAGCGAACCCGAACATCAAAGCCATTTTTGTTACCGTGGACGCCGCGTGGCCTGGTAAGCGCGAAGCCGACGAGCGCGTCAAGGCAGATGAGAACTTATCAGTGCCCATGGCACCGTCGAAGGTGCAGAACGACAAGAAAGGCGGCGGACTTGGCCGTGTCATGTCTGGGTTCATTGACCCCGGGCTGACATGGGAAGATTTGAAATGGGTAAAACAACACACGCATAAGCCGGTGTGTTTGAAAGGAGTGATGTCAGCGGATGATGCGCTGCTTGCCATGAAAGCAGGGCTTGATGGTATCTTGCTCAGCAATCACGGCGGTCGCAACCTGGATACGAGCCCGCCGTCAATCATCACACTCCTGGAGATCCACAGGCGTTGCCCGGAGGTCTTTGACCATATGGAGGTATATGTGGACAGTGGTATTCGGCGTGGAACGGACATCCTCAAGGCCGTGTGTCTGGGTGCAACAGCTGTGGGTATGGGCCGGAGCATGCTCTTCGCTACCAATTACGGCCAGGAGGGAGTAGAGCACCTGATTGACAGTAAGTGATAGCTTGACATCCTGCTTTTATAGTTTGCTGATGCCGATTTGTCGCAGTTATGCAAGATGAGCTGGAAACATCTATGCGAAACATTGGCATCACATCTCTGGCGGAGGCGTCCCCCGATCTCGTGCACACTGGGGATGTCGACCATCTGGTTCCGGCGTCTCGCTCGCACCCGTACGCTCAGGCCATAGCTAAAGGGCGACGACTGAGTTTATCGAAGCTTTGAGCATACAAAGTTGGGTATGAGATATTGCACCGGGGTTGCGATGTCGGTTGACCAATCGAATAGCGCGGGGAGGTGAGGTATCTATTTTTGGGGGCGTGCGTACATATACTCCGTACCAGTTGCCTCGCTGATAAACTAGCAATCATGGATCAATGTACCCATTTATCTACCCCAACCAAAAAAAATCAACCCCCTAAATTCCGTATCCTCTGATCTAGGGGGAAAGACAGGGGGGACTCCGATGGATTCCTGCCAAGATCTATTGACACCCGGGTCCTTACAGCTATTGAATACTCCCGAGCCCCTGGCCATAAAATATCAGCCACCTATAAGGTCTGCTGATCCCAGAATTCGACCCGGACCTTCCGGGGAAAATAAGGGAGAAAAGCCTATTATTCCAGGGACACGTTGCACCATAGGATATCATAGAATGATGTACAACATTTACCGTGTAGAACGGAGAATAGCGAAAATGCGTAGATCATTCGGAAGGGAGAACCCAACTCCGAGTCTCACCGCTCCACTTATTTAGACTACATTACTCCGGACTCATATTATTAGAATCCGTTTCTGGTCATGGGATTCCTCAACAGTTGATCGGCGATTAACCAGGTACCAAAATTGGAATTCTATTCTTTCTTTCTCGTGGCTTATATGTCTCCAACTTTTGGTACAGACTCAGGTGGTAGCCACTCAGGATTAAAGGATTAGAAGATATGCATAATGGAACCGTTGTGTAGGTAGGTAGGTATCTCTGAATATGGATACCTAGGTCCTCTCCGTTTTCCACTTCCCCTAGGAGAATTCAGCAGTACAGAACGTTGGGAGTATAGGTAGATTACCCCATTCTGCGGAGATCCAATAAAGGGCCGAGGATTAATGCCGGTGATTATTTCATTGGATTTAAAAGATGTAGAAGACGTAATCACCAGTTTCAGAGGGAAAGAGACGGAGAGTAAAGAATACATCATTTTCGAGGGGGGGTAAGTGATGTACCGGGTACATCTTGTCACTCCGTGTTCTGGTGGGTACGGGGTAGCTGTAGTCCCGATTACTGAGTATCTACTACTTACGCACTACGTAGATCGCTGAGAGATTTGTTGAACAGTCATCGGTCCATATATATAAAGGGAGTCCTGGCTTCCCCCTCTTCCCACCTCGTTTTCAAAATCTCTTTTTAATTCAAACCGAACAAATCACTTCCTTCTAGTGTTGACGTGCACTACTTTTTTTTGGTACACTATCGATAACGGTCCAGACCGCCAAGAAGTGCCCTCATAGCTCTCCCCAACCATTCTAAGCTCTATAAAACTCTCCTGCTTTCATTTTCTCATACCCTACTTCCTTACTCTCCTCTTTACTCCTTCCTTTTGCTTTCCCCCACTATACTCGGAGACCCTCCCCCTGGCCTTCCAACATAGCTCTATCTCAAAGCTATAATTCTATACAATTCATCATGGCTGCCCCCCGTTCATCATCTGTCCGTGCTCTTAGAGCTCTCTCCCAACAGCCTGTGGCACCCTCTTCTCGCCGCAGCCTCCACATCACTGGAGTCCAGTCTGCTCAACCCGCCAACACCGGCGAGAAGGCTCTCTCCAACCATGATGTCCTCCAATCCCGTGCCTTCAGCATCGCCATGCGCAGAATCAACGGCAGTGCATTCTCAGAGTATGTCCCACCCGTTCCATTCTTTGCATCTACCAATGCCTGCATTTCAATCCTTCAAAAATGACGAACTCAACTCTAACACACCTCAGCTCATCTTCTTCCCGTCAATTCAATACTTCCCGCGCCACAAAAGCCTTGAACGACACCTCAACCGTCGACTTTGTCTACATGCCCAGCATGGCAGACCTCGATGCCGCTCCCCTGCAGCGCAGCATCCAAGTCCCGGTCCTTCCCGAGCTCCCCTCCATCCCATGGCGTCAAACACCCACCGCCCCACCCATGAAGCCCCAGATCTACACCGTGTCTGGCACCGGTGCCGACGTCCCTGCCAGCGCCATGAGCGAGGTCGTCGATAATCACGCCATCGATCTGGACCCATTCTCGCTTACCGAGGCCGTCAGCCGCTCGCGTGTTGGCGAGGAAATTCAACGCAGATCAAGCAGTACCTCCGAGCCTGGTGTCATACGTGAGCTATGGGCTGGCTTCCTTGATGATGTTATGGGCCCCAAGGAGAGTGCTCAGAGAAAGTAGCCTTCTGCTTCCTGCCTCTTTGGTCCACTCTTGTTGCTTTTAGCCCCGTTGACGGGCCTGTGATGAACTGATTTCTTTTCTTGCTTGATACATTGTTCAGGCTTTCGTCTTGTCCCCTTTTTTTTAGGGTCGTTGGATTGTTTGAGATACTAGCGTTTTGATGTAATATCTTTCCCATGGAGTGGACGTATTCCTCCATGGTGTCGGCCAGCCGATCATGGGCTTTGTTTTCTATCTATCTTATTTCACTACATCTCTGGCGAGTTGTTCCAATTCAATTGAACATTACTACCTAACTACTTCTACCATCTCCAACAAAATGCCATGACTTCTGTTACTACTATTTTGTAATGAACACCATTCTGTCGGGTTGAACTCTGCGTATAATACCATATTGGTATGCAATGAATGAGGAGATCCAAAGCGAGAACAATTCCAAATGCAGTGAACACTTCCATGCATACCTTTCCAATCTCCAAACTAACCACCAATCTACTGTCACAGATGACTCACTGCTCTCACTCATGGAGCCAAACCCCGAAAAATCACATTTTCGTTGTGCCGAGGCATTCGATCGGATACCCACCATGATCTACGACAAAACCAGATCCACGCTGCCGGGAATTTCTCCGCCGTTAATCAAAAATGCAATGCATTTCCATCAACCCGAGGTCACCAGGCCAGCTCCAGTTGAGTGGGTCATGTCCTTTCCTAAGTTCATCGCTGGGGATTACACACAGGTTACACCACGCTCCGTCACATGTGCCATGCCGAGATAACTATCCAGCTAACCCTACAAGTGGTATTCGCTACTCCGTACACATATTCCGATCCCGACAGCGCTGTCTCTGTCCAGCTCGGGAACAATGACGTCGGCACATTGGCACTAGCGTGCCGAAATTCTGCACCTCGAGAATTGAATCAGCCCACTCTCCTTCTGACTTTCTCTCTAACGCCGGGGTAATTCCTTTGCAGTTCCGAGGTTTGTTCTATTTTCCCCCTTCTAATTTCTAGTTGCCGCTGGAATCGTGGGGGAGGTCGGAGTCTCCGCTCGGGCTATTTCGGGGAGAGCTGGGGTCGATTATCTGATTGATTTATCAATTGCTTCCGTGGATCTTGGGGGTCTTGATCTGTGCGTCATCCAATTCTTTTTTTTTCCTTTTTAACAACTGTTATGTATCATTTACCTTTTGGAGTTGGCCAAATCTCTCTTGTGGCTGGTGCTTTTAGTCTATCTAGGTTGCAAATTGTTTTGTGGCTTTGCATCGTGATTTACTGGTGTTGTGCCTCTGTTGGCATAATTGTGACTGCATCGGTATACGCTGAGATAGCGCTGAGCATTCATTGTGCTTCCATGGGTTGTCATCTACCGGGCGTTGTGATTCTTTGGGCCTATACCGGCGAGTCGCGAGCAGTCCCCTTCTCGGTGGACCCATTTAGCCGACCTTTAGCCAAGTTCAGCAATCAATTGAGGCTAAAGTAATTCAGGCTACAAAGGGCTCTCCATTAATAGAAGTCGGTCCATACTACGGAGCACATACCGTAAATATGCACTTGGTCCAACATATGAACAGCAATAAAATAGCAAGGGGTCCAATGTTTGATGAATAATATTTATCGCATAGTGTGTGACCATCGTAGTAGACTTTAGTTTGCATCATGGAAGCTTCCACCGACGGCTTGTGGCACAAGTGAGACATTGTTAGACTTGAAAGGACTTTAGACAACTGCATTTCAACTTATTTGCTAAGGGAATATCCGGCGTCCTCGTTTCCAGATACCGGGTTCTGGCTCATGATATGTGTATTCCGCACTGGGTAGCGACTATCCAGTTTGGACATGACAGGGCCACTCTTCGCCCATCTTTTGATATCCGCATATCTTGCGACACAGCTCGCGAAACTCCTGGATATGTTCGATCTCATATGTAATGCGTCCCCACAATTGGCTCATGATCTACGTGATAGATCTAATACAAGTTTTGCCACCATCACACAGAGTACTTTGCATTCAGTCAAATTAGGATAAAATGTATCTCACATACGAGTCATTCAAGCCTCAATCGGTTTAATTTATGAACACTCGACTGTGTAGAGTAAGGAGGCCCAAGCATTCACTGCAAAATAAGAATGGTCCCTGTTGGGGCTGCCAGGGTCAGACGTTCTCGACCCGAGTGGAGGCGTAAATCAAGTCTAGACCGTATGTTTGTACTCGTACACCCAATGGCATTTGTACGGTCGCACTGTGAACTCGGAGAAGGTTTTCTAATTTCGAATGTTTCTCCTATACTGTATATTTTGTTTTCGTTTTTGTTGCCAGGGAAAAATTCAATGCCTAGCTCCTGAGCTATTGAGCTGGGTAGCTGTTAAACTGAACTGGATCGTATCGAATCCATACGCTCCTATCCTTCCAATCATAGTCAACATAAAAATAGTCCCCAAAAAACAAGGTCTTCTCTGTACTCCGTATACAACATAGTATACTCGTTGCAGCAGTGATATTCCAGGACTTTGAGCTTAGGCTCCACTAGCTCCATTTAACGAGAAGATCCATACTGGAAGCGTTAGAGAAGTGGGGGAGACAGTGGAAGCTAATCCCATCACAGTATAACGCCCACTGGGAGTTCTTGTTTCTGGTCAGGGGTTCACGGTGGATATCGCCACTTCTCTCCCCTCTTTTCCACTCATTTCAATTCTTCTACTTCCTGCTCTTTCTTATTCATTCCTTCGCTGTCTTTATATCGGGTAGACATACAATTCAATCATTCGCTTCCTCAGATGCAGCTATCTACATTTTCTACTTAAAATCCCTCGGGATCATGCATCTCTCATCATGTCTGGTCTTCATTGCCGGCATCTCAGGCGTGCACGCCTTTTATCCATGGGAATTGCGGATGAAACTGTCCATGGAAACAACAGTCGAACGTCGCTTTGTTCCATGGACCTTGATTGAAGCCAAATCCGAAAGTACCGATAGCACCGACAGCATCGACACATCCAGCACAACCGACACAAAACCCTGGACTCTTGACCTGAAGAAAATACCCGTTCGCCGCGACGATGGCTATAAAATTGTCGAGTCCCACAAGCCGTCGTTATCAAACAGTGCACCGTTGAATCAGGACGGAACGGATTATTCATATTTCTCCCCCGTCTACGTAGGTTCTCAAAAGAAGGAAATGTGGATGGCAATCGATACTGGAGCACCCAATACCTGGGTCTTTGACTCGAATTGCACTGAGCCTGTCTGCGAACGTCACCACAAGTTCGATCGGTCAGAATCAACCAGCTATACTACCGACGGTTCGACTTTCAGCCTCTTTTACGGGAGCGGCAGGGTCGACGGAAAGATGGGGAAAGACACCATCTCAATTGCAGGGCTTGAAGTCTCGCAAACTTTCGGTCAAGCCAACAACGCCTCGGAAACATTTCAAAGTTACCCATTCGACGGCATCCTTGGCCTGGGTCGGTCGCATACTGAAGGGTGGAATTTGCCATCCTTCATGGATCTTGTGGCTGACAAAAAGCTCATCAAGTCAAACCTGGTTGGATTCAGCCTCTCTCGCTCGGCAGACGGTGGTAAGGATGGTGAAATCAACTTTGGTAATGTCGATACAACCAAATTTGATGGGACCATTAAATACACTGCCACCAACGGCAAAATCTGGAGCATCCCCGTGGATGATGCTTATGTGAATGGAAAAAGTTGCAACTTTTCCGGCAAATCCGCTACCATCGACACTGGAACCACATATCTCCTGATCCCCCCCCGCAGATGCCAAGATCCTGTTTTCTCTCGTCCCAGATGCCTCTCAACAGCCTTCCAACAAAAACAACTATTTGATCCCATGTAACTCGACTGCTACCATTGAGTTCGAGTTCTCCGGTGTCAAATATAACGTCTCTCCCAAGGATTATGTCGGAAATCCCGAGTCAGATGGTTCGGACTACTGCATTTCGACCATTGTCGGCTATGCATCCAACGGTGCCAACTGGCTAGTCGGCGATGTTTTTTTGAAAAACGTTTACACTGTGTTCGACTTTGACAATGGAAAAATCGGTTTCGGCGCGCTTGCTTCAGCCTCAGCCTCAGCCTCAAAGTCGAACTCAACCTCAACCTCAACCTCTTCAACCCCATCCGCGGGCAATGGGACATTTACCCCACCGCCAGTCACTACATCGTCAGCCACCTCCACAATGGCCACAGTCTCCGACAGCTCCGCATCCCACTTCGTCCGCGGCATTAGCTGGTCTATGTTCACGGTAATGCTTGGCGCATTCGTTATTTGAATTGCATTTTAGCCCATATTTCCTTTCTCGACTTTCTTTTGATTTGGCGACAATCATATTTCTGCTCCTTGTATTACTGTACACCTACTTATTCCCCATGTCTTTTTCATGCATACTGTTAATTATTCCACATATCGTTTCACTTCTGTTAATACACCTGGGTCCACATACGAGCACCCACTCATTCTGGCACATGCTGGTGGCACTTTGTCTATCCAGCTTTTGTTTTCGGCTGCATATATCACTCGCTTCGTGTGGCACACCCAATATCTGTCCCTCAATTAGATTGGACATGACTTGCTTTATTTTCACTTTCATAGACAAAAGTCTACAATCTCATCGGCCAGAGGCCAACATCTCATATATTCTGTCCCCAGTTGTCATCATGAATCATGTGTAATCAATCCACCTTTTACCGTTTATACACGTCCTGCCTCTATGAAGCGAGCCGGCGTGTGACATTGATAGTAAGGAGGAAGGTGCAAAGCAGGTACCTACTTTAGGAAGGTACGTGAGGGGTATAAACCCCCCTCGTCCGTGGAATCCCCCTTCTCTTCTTCCTCGTTTCGACCTCTGACCCACTATTTCGCCGTGGCCCTCGTCGGCGGAGGGCCCAGTCTGACCTCTACTCCAGAACCATCTCAGCCTGACTTTTTCAAGTTGTAGAGGTCTACGGGACTGAGCATTTAGGGGTCTTGTGGAAATTATGGGGTATGTTTCCCAAATGATACCATCCTCTCGCATATCATACCGTTAGTCGCCTAGGAAGGTCGTGTACATTTGATGTCGACGACACGTCAGAAAGAGCTATCTGTCATGACTCCATCCATATATACAGTATCATGTGTCACTGTATGGAGTATCCAGCATCCATTTACAAAGTTTTCTGCGGTATGAGTGCGTAGTTCTTCGGGTCCGACTCTGTAACTCAACATTAGCATTCATCATATCCCACCAGAATTAGGACCAACCAAGAATATCCCGTTTGAACTCCTCGACTCCGTTAAACCCAGCAACACCCATCAAAATATCCAAATCCGCCAGCAACGACTTCATCACATGCCTAACTCCATCCTCGCCCTGAATACTCAATCCCCAAATCCACAGCCGTCCGATAAATACAAATCTCGCCCCCAGCGCCAACGCCTTAACAACATCACTAGCACCCCTCACCCCAGAATCAAACATGACATAAATACTCTCTCCGACTGCCTCGGTAATCCTCTCCAGCGCATCAAGACTAGCAACAGCCCCATCAACCTGTCTTCCAGCATGATTACTCACAACAATCCCCTCAACCCCAAACTCAACACATCTTCGCGCATCACCAACCGACTGAATCCCCTTGATCACAAACGGCCGTCCTCCGCTAATCTTCCTCCAAGTCTCCATTAACCAAGGAATCTTCTCCCACGACCAAGCCCAGCCATGCCAAACAGAATCAATCCACTTCGTCGACGCCGCAACAAGATCAACATCAGGATCTATCCCGTCCGCTACACATCTCCTTCGAAAAACGGGATCCTCAAGTCCCATATCCGCTCCAAATCCACGATAAAATGCATAATTCGATGACGCAACGTCGTCATGTCGCCATCCGAGCTGCCACGTATCCGTCGTGAGTATCAGCGCGTCGAAGCCGTTTTCCCATGCCCGCGTTAGAAGTGATAGTGTCAGCTCGTCGTCGTGAGGCATATATAGTTGGAAAAAGCGGGTGCCTGTTGGCCCATTTGCTGATGCCACTTTTTCAATGGACGTGCTGCCCGCTGTGGAAAGGCAATAGGGTAAGTTGAGCTCGCTGGCGACTTTTGAGACGGCGGCTTCGCCGGACGGATGATAGATTTTGTTTATTCCGATTGGTGCGAAGCCGATTGGCGCAGATACTGAATGGTTGAAGATGGTTGTTCTTGTTGAGCGGTTGTTTGTGTCGATGAGTTGGTTTGGGATTATTCGGTGTCGGTAGAAGGCTTGTCGGTTTGCAAGGTGTGTGTTTGACATGCCTGCGTTTGAGGAGGCGTAGTACCTGTTTAGGTGGTTTTTTGGTTAGTTTATGAGTTTCAGGGTTTCCTGGTCTTGTCTTATGGGGAGATGGTATGTACCAGCCGCCCTCACTCAGCTTTTCTTTCGCTCTTTCTTCCATTTTCCGGGGATCTATAGAAGTTAGTGATGCTGTGGGGCTGGAAGAGTCATAGCAAAGACTTGCCAGTGTTGAACAAAGGGGTCGTTCCTTCATTCTGTTTCCAGAAATTCTCTCGCTGATACAGACCCCATTGAGGCGTAGTGCGCTCTTTGATATGTGGGTTTGTTGGGTCACTCATATTACCGATTCACAAACTTTGGTTTCGGAGTTCTTCAAATCAATGTATTCATCCGAATAGTACAATAATCAAGAGCAAGTTTCCTTAGAAATGAGTTTTTTAGATTAATATCCTTTCGATGACTTCATCTTGACGCTGTTTGGCTATTGGAGAACACCACAAGTTGTAGTGTGGTTTCGGTCCGGAGCTTGGCTAAGCTTAATTGAACCCCATCATATTTCCTTCATATTTTACCTTGAAGTAGGCTAAGTGGAAAAAGAAGTTCCTCACTGTTGAGCGTATGCGGTTTCAACCCTCGAATCTCGGAAGGCCCTATCCTATATGTCAGAGAGCAACCTCCCGAGGTCTAAAATTGCAGGACCGCTAAGAGCGGCGGTACAATCCGTAATATTCTTACACATGTATGTATATGGGAACCGGGGTTGGGTAGACCCAGCTTATACAACACCAGGGTCAAGTCGGCAGATTTCATGATTCCTCGGCTTTTGTCCGCTTACACTTTTCTTTGGAGGCCTCGAGCTCCACCAGAATGTAAATACATACATACTCCGTGTCGGGATCGATGACACTGCTTTTCGTGTCCGAGCCGAGAATCTCCGGGGGCTAACCAGATCGAGAAAATGTTACGAGAAGCTCCAGTGGCCATCAGGGGCTTAACTCAAGAGCATGTATTAATCCTCACTTTTACCGCAGAAGATGTAGATTAGAGTCCTCCGTGTCCAAGTCCAGGAAACTCATATTTGAACCAGCTACCATTCAAGTACAGCAGTAATTGAAACTAATCGCCAATAACAGCGACAAAAGTCAAGTGAACAGGGCGGTCAAATTCTGCCAAGCCACCGAGTAATTAAATCTCCCTTGGTCACTACCGCCTTCTGTATGTACCAGATCCTCGGGCATCGTCATTTTGAGTCCGGAGTACAATCTACCGGGATATCTACATTTCTGTCTCCTTTTTAGTTTTCTTGAACATCAAAATGCTTGGCATCGGTAGAAGATCAGCTCTTGCACGCTCAAAATCTTTGGCTGCGCTACCTGCGCGAGCTGCTGTCGCAGCCCAGCCATCCTTGATCAACACCCAGGACTTTCACTCCACGCCGTCTCAGGCAGGATCCCGGGCGACGTGGATGCCCATGCGTGTCAAGACGCCATGGATTGATGCACTGACACAGATCCGCGAGGCTGAGAAGGCTGGACTGGATGAAAAGGCCGGGCAGAGCGTTAAGCCTGATCTCTCGCCAAAGAAGATGTCGGACAGCTATTACAGTGCTGTACGTATAGTTTTTATTTTATTTTGTGGGGTGCGAATCAAGATATTGATATTGACTCACCGGTAGATTTTGCCTTTGGCCCAAGACAAGTGGCTTTTGGATTCTTATCTCAACTCCTCCGGGCATATTAGGTACGTTCTCATGGCATACATATCAATCCGGCATTTGACTGATCATTTCGACAAGACTGGGCTCCCTTCTGATGGACCTCGATGCCCTTGCTGGTATCGTTGCCTACCGTCACACAGGTGACGGTGTATCCACTGTCACTGCGGCGTGTGACCGGATCACCATTGAAAACCCACTGATGGAGATTTGCGACCTTGAGCTCAGCGGCCAATGTACCTATGCGACTGGTCGATCAAGCATGGAAATTTCTCTCCAGGTCAAGAAGGCCCGCCCGGAAGGACAGGAGCCAAAGCCTGAAGATGTTCTGATCACTTGTGCTTTCACAATGGTCTCACTGGACCCGGTTACCAAGACGTATGTCCCTCTTTGTATCGAGTGCTACAAAAAGCTAACACCCAAACCTAGGCCTGTCCCAGTGGCTCCTCTCATCGTTGAAACCGAGGAGGAGAAGCGGCTCTTCCGAAAGGGCGAGGCGAATTACCAGGGCAAAAAGGCTCTTCGTACACGCAGTCTCTTGGAGAAATCACCAGATGCCGAAGAGAGCAACCTGATTCACTCGATGTGGACGAAGGAAATGTCTTATCTGAGTATGTACCAAAAGCCTTTGACCCATCATATCGCCTAAATCCTAGAATTCTAACCCAACCACAGAGTCCCAAGGCGCAGCTAAGCGCCCCCCGAACCAGGTCTTCATGAGCGACACAGTTCTCAAATCCGCCATGATCATGCAACCGCAATACCGCAACCGACACAACTTCATGATCTTCGGTGGCTTCCTGCTAAAACAGACCTTCGAGCTCGCCTTCTGCTGTGCCGCATCCTTTGCACATGCTCGACCAAACTTCGTCGCTCTCGACCCCAGCACATTCGAGAACCCAGTCCCCGTAGGCAGTGTGCTGTACCTGCGCGCGACGGTTGCGTACACGGAACCCGAGGAGCGCGAGGGTGATGGTACCAAGTACACCAAGGTACAGGTGCGTGTGGACTCCAAGGTGCGGGATGTCGAACACGGTACGAAGAAGTCCACGGGTATGTTTAACTATACATTCCTCGTTGAGAAGAATGTGCAGGTTATGCCTAAGGGATACGGTGAGTTTATGCTTTGGGTTGATGCCCGTCGGAGGGCACAGAATGCTGCTGCTATTGATCCAGCGCATAAGATGAGTGCGCTGCGGAGTATCAAGGATAGTGTGACGGAGTAGGCGAAAAAGTAGTTGGGTGGTTTCTTTTGCTTTCTGGGTTGGGTCAGGCATTTTCCCATTAGATTTAGATCGGTTCAGTGTCTTGTCTGTTTGAATATTCGTGCTTTCTTTTGTCTTTAGTGGAAATTGCTTCCTCGCTGAACTGTCTGTGTATATCAAAATCGCGTTTCAATACCAAGAAAGCTAACCAGCAAAGCTTAGAAAGGTATCAAAATTTCCAGAGAAGAGACATAAAAGCCACTTTTTTTTTTTGTGAAGGCTACCATGCAAAGAGAAAAGGATCTATATACAACGCCCTCCATTCGCCTATCAGTTCCATCCAACAAAAGTATGTATAAGACGGGCGGGGAATATGTAGAAGAGCATAGAAGAAGAGAATAGACACAAGTCGAACGCAAAGAATCCATCAAGTATCCCAGTATTCCAGTCCACCCAGTTGAAGAACCAACCATGAAACCGACTCCATGTAAATAATCCTCCCAGACCATTGCAATGCAACCGTGGTATGCACAGAGGTTGATCCAACTAAAAAAAATCCCAATCCCGACTATAACTAACTCCCTTCGCCCGTTTCCTTCCGTGGAAAAGGAGAAATTTCAAAAATGTTCGTTTCAGGTCGTGATTCCAAGTTTTCTTTTGCCTTGGGTGGCTTTTTTGTGAACTTTTGATTCACTTCGCCTTTTCTAGTTTGAATATGAGAGATTTTTTGTGATTGTTGTTAATGTTTTCGTTTGAGAGGTCAGAAAAGTTCTCCGGGTGGTTGAGTGATGTTGAGGTGATGCTGTCTTTTATAGCAGTTATGTAGTGAAGATTCGAGATGTGAGTTCAAAGTCATTGATGGATACGAATGAATCCAGAGTCTCCATTGCCCAAAAGAAAAAGACCATTGGTGCCATACGGATGGGAACTATCATCCAAACTCTCGAGTATGAACTGGCGAGGAATGCAATTAACAATACAGAGCCGCTTGCCGGGAACCGTGTTGTAGGCGTATGCTACAAGGCAAAGGAACTTCCCGATCAAGAGAGACACGACTTATTGATTGTCATTGCTCGCTAAGAACTTCCGAGATGGCGTTGGACGTCAATGAACCCCCGGTATGGGAGCCAGAGGCAGTCTTATCCCTAGGCCCCCTAGGCTCGCGCGGCTCCGGGGGTTGCTCTTCTTTCATGCAAGCATTTTCCAAGATATTAGTCCACTTTCCACTGGTCCCAGCATGGCTATGCTTCAGATGCTGTCGGAAATGGTCTGCGCGGAAGAACTTCTTGGCATTGTTGCATTCGCCAAACTTGTGCACGGTGGTCAAGTGCTCGAACCGTCGATCCCAGTCTGCCTGGGGGAGATTTGGGAATTCCTCCCCGCAGTAGCCGCACGTGTCATGGGTAGGTCCAGTGGATGTCTGGCAGGACTGTGTGCCTGAGGCGTGAAATGCTGCTTGGAAACTCACGAGCGCGGCGCATGACCATGAATGGCGTCGTAGGTGGAGAGAGTTTTGGTGTCGCTCAGCTTCGTTTTTGTTCTTAAAGCGGTGATTGCAGTAGGCACATGCGTACTGTTTCTCCATCTCGTGTGCACTGTTCTGAATTAGTATGACTCATATCACAAAGAGATTTCGGCATCAACTTACCGTAAACCATCTGGATTGTCAAATTTCTTGGGTTTCTTTGGACAACAATCGCAGATGAAAAGCCCACCAATCTTTGGCGCAGCGGGCTTTGGCACGTTCATAATGGTCGTCGGTACAGACACTTTTCCAGTGGCATCCGTCGCAGGCGGTTCTAAAGATGCAGGCCCTGGGAGCCTTGGAGGAGTAGGTTGAGATAGCGCCGCAGTAGGGCTGGGGTTGAGAATTGATTTTTCGTGGAAGGTATCGAGATCGGAGCTTGGTGAAAAACCACCTGGGGACGGTCGGTCATACGGAGAAAGGCTGGTCATACTGCTACCTCCAATAGACAGCGTAGAAGAATACGAGCCCGAGGTCCGGATGCTCAATGATGAGGCGGCTGAGAAGGTTCGTTGACTTATGGCGTAATTGGGGTTGACGGAGAGTGTGTTAGTAAACGGATGTCCACTGATTCGTCGTTGTGACAAGTCTCCGTTACTTGTAGCGATGTGCAATGTATGTCTATCGTCGGTTATCGGCTCACGCGGAGGTGAAGATGCCCGTCGTTTCATGCCCTGTCTCGAATCCGGATACGGCGGAGTGGGCTCTCGAAGTATGAATTGCCGCGGGGGTACCGGCTCGTCAGTCGAAAATTCTCCCTCGATATCTGAAAATACGCCCTGGTCGTAGCTTCCACGGTTCGATCGACTCGGTAGACTGATGCTATCTTCTCGCTGTGGCGTTGTTCCACGATAGCGGCGTCGGCTCACATCCCGCAAAGATCCTTGGTCGTAA